TCTGGATATCAGCAACATTTTACTAGTTAGCCACTTTTTGATATCTTTCACAGAAAATGAGATATATAGGCTCAAAGTGGACGATCCGGGTGTCGTTCTATTAGAGGTTTTACGGTATTTCAAACTGTAAACTCTAAGTTTAATTGCGAAAATCGCTCGAACGAGACAAAAATCTCCAATAGAGCGACGGCATTCAAATTCTCAGGTCTCAGTTTTTTATAAATTAGACAATTATTCAATCAAAACAAGAAAAAAACGGCTGATAATCAAAGGAAATAGTCAAAGGGGCCCTTCAAATAGAGGGGCCCTTCAAATAGAGAGAGCACTTATATTTTTCGTGAGGCCTCTAGGGGGGGCACTTCAATTAGAGGGGCCCTTCTAATACAGGTTTTACGGTAATCTGAAAATCGGAAAATTTCGAAATTTCTAAATTTAAAAAATCCTAAAGCCCGGAAAGTTTAGAAAATCAAAAGCTCCACGAATTCTGAAATAAAGAAAAATTTTGAAAATTCCAAAAATTGAAAATTATGAAAATTGAAGTTATTTAAATATGCTGAATATTTCTCGAATTTCGAACTTCTGAGAAATATTCAAAAAACTTGAATTTCAAAATCCCGAAAATTAGAAAATCGAATTTTTAGAAATATCAAAAAATTTGAAAATTTCAAGAGTTTTTGAAAATAAGAAATGCTCAAATTTCGAAAAAAAATCTCAAAGTTTGGAATTTTAAACTTTGAAGAATCCAAAAACTCAAAAAGCTTCAATAATTAGATTTTCGAAATTGAAAATCCCAATGCTTCAAAAATGATGATATTTGGAAAAATTAGAAATTTTCGATAATTCAAGTTTTCGGGAAATTCCAAGAATATTTTCAAAATTCAATCAAACTTCTGAAATTGTTTTTTAAACATTCTGAAATTCTTTCTGTAAACTCAAAATTGCAAAAAAAATCGCTGAATTTAGAATCTCAGAAAGTTGGAAGTTTCGGAATTTCAGCAATAACTCAAAATCAGAATTTCTTAAAATTCCAAGAAAATCTGAAATCCCAGAAAACCCAAAAAAATTTCAGATTCATCTCCTCCGGAACCACCATGGAAAAGTTCCCCCTGGTCGTCGGAACCAAATTCAACATTCCATTCCTTTTGGATGACGCTGGGAATGGAAATGTGAGTCTTTTCTTTGTTTGGAAAAAACTACAGTAATCCATTTCTACCAGAAATTTTTATTGTTTACCAAGCGAAAAGAAAACTGAGCTGTGAGAGCATTTTTGGCGGGGTGGGGTGAAAAAACATGTAAATTAAAATACAAAATTTTCAAAAAAAAAAATTCTGAAATTCCAAAAAATAGCAATTTCTGGAATAGCTGAATCAAGAAAAATGGGTCAGAAAACACAAAAAAAAACATGATTATGAAGGCGCCGGATTACTGTAGAATACAAAAAATTGGAGATTTTTTTGAATTTTTCAGATTTTTTGAAATCCTGGGAGCTTTATGAAAAAACAGAGGAGGGCGGGGAAAAAGGGGGCGGAGTTTCAAGACACTACAAACTACATTTTAAAAAAAAACGAAAATATACAAAAAAAGATCAGAAATACCAGAGAGAAGGGTTTTTAGAGGAACCGTACACAAAAAATAGCAGTTTTAGGGAGATAAAAAACAGAGAAAAAATAGAGAAAAAAAAGGAAAAAATTGGCGGGAATTCGAATTTTTTTTGAAAATTTTTGAAGTGAAAAATTGATGGAATTTTGAAAAAAAAATGAATTTTTAGAAATCAAAAATTCCGAAGATTAGAAATTTCAGAAAATTTCAAATTTGAAAATCTAGAATTTTCGGCTTTTGAAAATCTGAAATTTCAGAAAGTCGGATTTTCGTCTGAAAATCCAAGAAATTCGAGAATTTCAAAAATCTTGAAGTTTCAGATTTTTTTGGAATTTTCTTTTTTTTTGGGATTTTCCCAGAAATTCAAAAATTCGGAATTATCAAAATTTTTGAAATTCAGAAATTTTTAATTTTCCGAAAATCGTGAATCCAGAAATTCCAAAAAAAAAATCCAGAATTCAAAAAACTCTGCAATTTCAGAAAACTGGAAAAACAAATTTTTGGGAAAATTTTGAAATTCGTCTGAAAATTCAAAAATTCAAAAAAATCGAATTTTTATGAATGTTTAAAGAAAAATCTTCTTCTTTGGAATATTCTGAAAATCTCAAAATCTCAAGTTTCCGAAAAAATTCCTCAAAATTTCGAAAAATCGAAGAAACCCGAATCATAGAAAAAAAATTCGAAAATTCCAAAAAAATCGAAGAGAACGAAAATTCTAAAAACCTGAAATTCAAAAAAAAACATTTCCAAAAATTTCACATTTTCTAGGTCAATTTTCATCAAAAAGCTTAAAATTTCATCCAAATTATTCCAATAAATTCAAAAATCCCCCCCTAATATTTATTCCCCACACATTTCGGCCTTCTCATAATATTTATTGGCCAATTTCCCATTCATCGCCTCCATCGCCGCCTCGGCAGCCTCGTTGAAGAGGCAATAGGCTCGTTCGAAGTCTCGATTCAGCCCGTATCCTCCTTCTTTGTACATTTCAGCCATTTTAGCCAGAATCTCGTGACGAGAGAGTGGAGAGAACGAGGAGAACGCAGACTTTCCAGAATTTGTGGAGTCTTGTTCGGGTTGTTCGTCGTCCTGGAAGCCGACGACACGCTGGTACCTGCAGAAAATGGACAATTTTAAGCAGAGCAATCACAGTAATCCTTTTTCAACGCTGGCCAATCAAAAGTACAGTAATCCTAAAATGAGCTACGGTATCTCTAGAAAAAAATACAGTAATTCATGAGCAATCTTACAGTAGTTCAGTTTTTGTCGTCTACAGTAGCCTTGTCCCTACAGTAATTCTAAAATAAGCTACAGTAACCCATGAGCGCTTCTACAGTAATCCTTAGCTCTTGTCCACTACAGTATTCCTTTTCCTAAAGTGTAATAATCCTATTTAAAAGCTACAGTAACCAATGATGAGTTCTACAGTAATCCTGAACTCTTCCTTACAGTATCCCTAGAACTGGCTACAGTAGTCTTGAAGATCCTGAAACTACAGTAATCCTGGCATTTACAGTAGCTGTATATCCAAAACTACAGTAACCCATGAGCAACTCTACAGTAATCCTGAGTGTTTCTCCTACAGTATCCCTAGAACAAGCTACATTAGTCCTAAAGTTGCAAAAACTACAGTAATCCTTATCACGTGGCATCTATAGTAGCTATATCCCAAACTACAGTACTCCGACAGCCCGCTACAGTAACTAACCCTACAGTGATCCTAGAGCAATCAAAATTACAGTAACCTTCTCATGAGCAACAGTAATCTTAAGAAAGTGAGAAAATTTTACAGTAACTCTACAACTAGCTACAGTAATCCATATACCTGACTGCTGAGGTTTCAAAACCTACAGTAACCCTGTCTACAGTAATGTTTTGCTTTAAACTCACCAATCAATGGATTTCTTATAATCCGTACTACGATTCGGTCCCAGTCTCTGTCCAGTCTCATAGGCATGTGCCATGTACAGCATTGCTCCTTTGTCACCCATTTCAGCAGCGATTTCCATTAGGTCCGAACCGAATTCTTCGAGGTCTGAAAGAGAAAAATCATAGTTTCGAAATGTCGCAGTTCTATTAAGTCACAGTTCTAAAATGTCATAGTTCTGAAATGTCCCAGTTCTAATACGTCGCTGTTCTGAATTTTCTGCATCGTCACAGCTGTAAAAACCCATAGTTCTAAAACGTCGCAGTTCTATAATGTCAGAGTTCGGAAATGACATGGTTCTGAAACGTCGCAGTTCTAAAATGTCTTAGCTCTAAAATGTCACAGTTCTATAATGTCGCAGTTCTGAAACGTTACAGTAGCTGAGTTGATGCATTTTTCTCCTACCTCGAATCCCATTCTCCTGCTCGCCAAGCCCCTCCGGAAATAGGTCATCTACAGTAACCTCCTTCAACAACTCATGCGGTAGTCCTAAGACAATGTGTGCCGACGTCAGAACTGCTTCCAGGATCCCACATTTTCTAGCGATATCCAAATGGAAAATCGCTGATTGCTTATCATATTTAATCGGGAGTCTGGAGTCATTTTCCGATCCATCGAGCATCTCTTTTTGCTCCGAATCCAGTTCAATGAATCTCCCTAGCTCGTGATAACGTGCCAAATCGATGTGTATCTGTCCGAGGACCGAGAACTGATGGCCTGTCACCTGAGGCATCGGATCCTCATCGTTCGCTTCTGCATTCTCCCTTGCCAGCTGTTGTAATTGAAGTGATAAGATGTTCGCTGGCACTGATTGCTTCCGTAGAACCTTCCAGAATTCGTCCTTCTCCGTCTCCCGCGTTTGTCGGGATGAATTCATTGAATACGTCCCAACGGAGGATCGGAAACTATCGTGACGCTGTCTCAACGATGCCAGATCGACGAATCCACACTTTCTGGGTCGTTGTTCGTCGTCGCAAGAGGATCTAGTGGAGATGGACATTCTGGATTTCCCACTTTTTCCCGAATTTCCAGATTTCTCGGATCTCGGATAGTCTTCTTCTTCTTCGTCATCGTCTTCTGAATCATCGTCGGAGCATGGTTCACAGAGTTGCTCAACGACTGGAATGCATTCCGGACACACGCAGTCCTCGTTGTGCACCTGAAAATGATAGTGGCCGTTTTTCGATCATTTTAGCCATTTTTCAAAATTTTCGAAAATTCGAAAAATTTCAATTTTTTTGAATTTTTTGGAATTTTCAGACGCTCGAATTTAATAATAAAAAAACGGCGTCTTGAGTCGAAAACAGCGTAAAAAATGGGTCTAGACTGACTTTTCTAGAACGTTCTAGCTCAATTTTGAAATTTTCGGGTTACTGTAGCGCCAAAAGTACGCAAACACCACATCTTACGACACTTTGAGCTAGAACGCTGAAAGATGGATTTTGGACTAATTTTGGGACGCTGAATTCGATTCTGATAACGAAAATTTCCAAAAAATTCAAGTTTTCGAAATTTTCCTGAAAAACCATGGTGGCCAAACTTTTTCAACACCAATTTTCTGGGCTACAAAGTTAATGACCAAATTTTCGTTATCAAATTCGGAATCAGCGTCAAAAATGGGCCTAGACAGACTTTTCTAGAACTTTCTAGCTCAATTTCCAGATTTTTTGGGTTACTGTAGCGCCAAAAGTACGCAAACGCCAGAACTTACGGCACTTTGAGCTAGAACGCTGAAAATCGGATTTTCCGGTAATTTTTGAGCGCTGAATTTGATTCTGACAGCGAAAATTGTCCGAAAATCTTAGTTTTCTTTTTCTAGGTCAATTTTCATGGTGGCCTAGAAAACTCAACTTGCAAAAGTTAGGCCATCATAGTGAAACTAAGATTTTTCGACAGGTTTCGTTATCCCATTCAGAATCAGCGTCTCAAATTTACTAGAAAATCCAATTTTCAGCGTTCTAACGCAAAGTGTCGGCAGATCTGGTGTTTGCGTACTTCTGGCGCTACAGTAATCCAAAAAAACCTTGAAATTGAGCTAGAAGGTTCAAGAAAATTCTGTCTAGACCCATTTTCGACGCTGATTTCAAATTCGATAAGCGTTTTTTGTAATTTTTTGAAATTAGGTCAGAAATTTGGGTTTTGAGCCATTCTTTAGCCATTTTCAGCCGATTTTAAGCCGCCAGTGCTGGTTTCATGCTATATTTAGCTTCTGGATTGAGCACTTTCAGACTTTTAAAGCAAAATTTTGGGTTTTTTTTCAGTCAGTTTAAGCCTAAAACTAACCTTAATAGACAAATCAGTGGAACTATATCCCAGCGTCTTCCTCTTTCTCAGCTGATCCATTGAAATTCCGTGCTCAACGACATGAACACACTCAGAAGACACTCGATTTCTGCGTGCTTCGAATACTGTAGGTGCCGCGACACACGACTTCTTCTGCCGAGCAGCCTGAGCAATCGCATGCTCCGTCGCTTCGATTTCCGGTGGTGATAGTTCGAAATTCGATAAATCCATTGTTTCACAAATATCGTTACATCTATGCGAGTGAAAGAAAAGGGCCATTCCCCGGGTGCCCAGATTTCCATCACCGTAATCCGTTCCGACTACTGTATGTATTTGGGGATCAGTGTACAGGTCACCGACACCCTGAAAATGCCGAAATTCTGGTTGGAAATGGGCTGAAAATTAGGGAAACTCGTGTGAAACTTGACTAGAAATGTCCGAAAAATCACTGAAAATCGTTTGGATTTCACTTTTCCGAAAAGTATGTGAAATGCTCCATTGAAACTGACCAAAAACGGTCTGATTTTTTGCTGCAATTGACTTAAATTTGGTCTAGAACAGCCCAATACAGACAGAATTACGGAAAGTTACAGAAAACGCCTTTCAAGTTCGGAATCAGCGCGAAAAATGGGTCTAGACAGCGTTTTCTAGAACCTTCTAGCTCAATTTCAAGGTTTTTTGGGTTACTGTGGCGCCAAAAGTACGCAAACACCACATCTTACGACACTTTGAGCTAGAACGCTGAAAATTGAAATATATAGTAATTCAGGGACGCTTAATTCGAATGTGATAACGAAATTTGTCTAATAAGTTTTTTTAGTTTAGTTTTTCGAAAAATAAATGCAAAAACCCTGAATTTCTGACATCATTTCGAAAAATCACTGGAAACTCTTTTCAAATTCGGAATCAGCGCGAAAAATGGGTCTAGACAGCGATTTCCAGATCTTTCTAGCTTCATTTCCAGATTTTTTGGGTTACTGTAGCGCCAAAAGTACGCAAACGCCAGAACTTACGACACTTTGAGCTAGAACGCTGGAAATCGGAGTTTCTAGTAATTTTGTGTCGCTGAACTCGAATCTCATGGCGAAAATGACCACTCGGTGTGTTTTCTAGGTCATTTTGATGTGATGGCCTAACTTTGAGTTTTCTAGGCCGCCATACTATATGGTCTAGAAAACCCATTTCTTAATGTTTAGGTGATTTTCATTAACAAATTCGAATTCAGCATCCCAAATATAGTCCAAAATCCATCTTTCAGCGTTCTAGCTCAACGTGTCGTAAGATCTGGCGTTTGCGTACTTTTGGCGCTACAGTAACCCAAAAAATCTGGAAATGAAGCTAGAAAATTCTAGAAAAGTATGTCTAGACCCATTTTTTACGCCGATTCCGAATCCGATATTCGTTTTTTGTGATTCTCCGAAATTAGGTCAGAAAGTTGGGGTTTCTTTAGATAAGTTTCTGGAAAATTTAGGAAACCAAAATTTTCGTCAAGTTTAGTTATTAGATTCGAATTCAGCATCTCAAAATTAGTCCAAAATCTATCTTTCAGCGTTCTAGCTCAACGTGTCGTAGGATCTGGCGTTTGCGTACATTTGGCGCTACAGTAACCAGAAAAATTTGAAAACTGAGCTAGAAAGTTATAGAAACTGCTGTTTAGACCCATTTTTCACACAGATTTCGAATTTGAGAACCGTTTTCTGTAATTTTTTCGAAATTCTGTTAAAGTTTTGGGGGTTTGAGCCGTTTTCGGTAAATTTTCGGATCTTTCAGACCATTTTCGATATTTTCTTGACGAATTTCAGTGATTTTTGGGTCATTTTCAGTCAATTCCCAACGAATTTAAGCCTCACCTGAATATCAACAACCATCATTTGATGTCCGGACCGTTCAAAAGTGAAATGTGAGAACGCTTGTGGTGTCAATCTCGCTGCATTTGAGACGAATCCAGAATTCGAGTTATATTTAATATATTTTCCCTCGATGAAATGCTCCAAATGATATAATGGTGATCCAATCACATCGATTAGTTCGATTACACACATTTGAACGATGTCAATCTTTTTCGGCGGATTGTATCGATTGAATTCCTCGGCCCACAGTTTGGCGTCCATCTGGAAATTTCAGAAAGTTTTGAACATCAAACTTTTTCGACAATTTTCGTTATCAAATTTGAATTCAGCGTCCCAAAATTACTCGAAAATCCAATTTTCAGCGTTCTAGCTCAAAGTGTTGTAAGATCTGGTGTTTGCGTACTTTTGGCGCTACAGTAACCCAAAAAAAAAATTGGAAATTGATCTAGAAAATTCTAGAAACGTCTGTCTAGACCCATACGCTGATTTCGAATTTGATAAGCGGTTTTCGTAATTTTCTGAAATTAGGTCAGAACTTTGGGATTTTTGAACTTCTTGGTTCTAGACAATTTCGAAAACTCGGCTTTAAAATTTTTTCGGCAAGTTTAGTTATTAGATTCGAATTCAGCGCCTCAAAATTACTCGAAAATCCAATTTCCAGCGTTCTAGCTTAAAGTGTCGTAAGATGTGGTGTTTGCGTACTTTTGGCGCTACAGTAACCCAAAATCCTGGAAATTGAGCTAGAAACTTCTAGAAAACGCTTCCTAGACCCATTTTCGACGCTGATTTCAAATTCGAGCATTGTTTTTTCGAAATTCTGCCTTCAGAAGACGTTACCTGAAGTCGAACATCATCAAAAAGAACGCGTCGATCCACCTGACATATATACCGTTTTGCCACATAATTACTGCTCCAATCTCGTGTGGTCCCATGCACTGAGCACTTCTTCAATCGATAACACTCCCTCATTGCTCCGCGAGCAAATGAATCCGGATGTATTCTGACGTCGACAATATCCTCCGTCCACTGTTTTCGAATCGCCGAATATCGATAACGACGGGCTTTCTGTTCGGGATACTCGTGGATGTTGAACTCGTCCCATGGATCGACATAGTTCGAACGGGCTCGCCGAGCCGCTCGTCGCCACGTTTCCATCAGTTGACGCACTCTGGAAATTAGGCGGAAATTCCAGATTTTTTGGGTCCAAATTTGCTAATTTTGGGCTTAAACTTGGTATTTTTAATGCTAGAAATCGCCATTTTCAGACTCGAAATTGTCCAATTTATGCTTAAATTTTTTTTTCGGGATTTTCGGGTCAAATTTGGCATTTTCAGGGTCGAAATTGGCTGATTTCAGGATTCAACTTCGTTGTTTTCTAAGGCTAAAAATCAGATTTTCAAACTTAAAATCGGCTAATTTAAGCCCTAAATTTGAGATTTCAAGACTAAAAACCGTCATTTTTGGCTAAAAGTCCGCATTTTAAACTGAAAAATCGACATTATCAGAGTTGAAATTAGCTGATTTTAGGCTTAAATTTGGGATTTTTTGGGCTAAAAATCGTCGTTTTTGCTGAGTCAAATTGTCAATTTCAAGAGGCAAATTCGACTTTTTCGGGCCAAAATTTCTCATTTTCAGACTCGAAATTAGCAATTTTCAGGCTTACAAATTCAGAATTTTGTTAATTTTTCGGCGAAAATTTTGGGAATTTAAAGCTCAAATTTGCGATTTTATAAGCTAGAGAATTGTCATTTTTAAGAGCGAAAATTCTAGATTTTTCAGGAAAAAATGACAAATTTTTTGGCTGAAATTTGGGATTTTTAGGGGATAAAAATCAGCATTTTCAAGTGAATATCGTCGTTTTTGGCCGTAAGGTGTAGTGTTTGCGGACTTTCGGCTCTACCGTAACCCGAAAAACCTGGAAATTGAGCTAGAAAGTTCTAGAAACGTCTGTCTAGACCCATTTTTCACGCTGACTCCGGATGTGATAGCCGTTTTTGTAATTTTCAGTAGTTATGTTAGGGATTTGGGATTTTTGAATTTTTTGGTTTTAGAAAATTTTAAAAACTGAGCTTCAAATTTTTTTTCGACAATTTTCGTTATCAAATTTGAATTCAGCGTCCCAAAATTACTAGAAATCTTAATTTACAGCGTTCTAGCTCAAAGTGTCGTAAGATGTGGTGTTTGCGTACTTTTGGCGCTACAGTAACCCAATAAATCTAGAAATTGAGCTAGAAAGTTCTAGAAAAGTCAGTCTAGACCCATTTTCGACGCTGATTTCAAATTCGATAAGCGTTTTTCGTAATTTTGATGTTTAGCGTTAAAAAGCAGCATTTTCAAGTGAATATCGTCGTTTTTGAGAATTTCAGATTTTTTGGGTCATTGTTTGACTCGAAATCGGCTAATTTCAGATTGAAATTGAAGATTTCTCTAGTGAAAAATTATCAATGTCTAGAGCTAAAATTGACAATTTTCGGGTCCAAATTTGCAAATTTCGGACTTAAATTTGGATATTTTAAGGCTCAAAATCAGATTTTCAAGCTAGAAAATTATCAATTAAAAGACCGAAAATTCTAGATTTTTGGCCTAAATTTAGGATTTTTTGAGGCTCAAAATCAGCATATTCAAATGGAGAATCGACATTGAAAATCGGCTAATTTTAGGCTGAAAATCGGATTTTTTTAATCTGGAAAGTTATCAATTTTAGAGCCAAAAATGAGCCACATTTTTTTGGGCTTAAATTTGGGATTCTTAAGGCTGAAAATCGCATTTTTAGGCCCAAAATTAGCAATTTTCGGGGGGTTTTTTGAGATCAAAACCGTACTTCAACGGGTCCATTCGTGGCTTCTCAACGACCAGTTCGTTATTCTCAATGAAAACGAGGTCTTCGTCCTTGTAGTCGTCAGTGATTGGCACCATTTTTGACGCATTCAGGGAGAACGAACGGGCGGATGTCTGCAAATTTCGAAATTTCAGGTATTTTTAGGAAAAATTGTTTGAAAAGCCCCCAAATTTAACAGTATTTTTTGGGCTAGAATAGCTGCAATTTCTTGAATTTTTCGCAAATAATTTTGGTCAAAAATGATGCTAAAAATGGCTAAAAAAAACCTGAAATCCCGGCGAGCGATCTGGCGATGTATCGCTCTCATTTGTGGTGTCGATCGTCATTTTCTCTGATAGTGATAATGATGATTGATATTGACCCAAAGTTTGATCACTACTGAAAAAATCGAAACTTTGGGGGGAAAATGAGTGAAAATCGGCGCAAAATCGGCGCAAAATCGGGGGGTAAAAGTCGCGAAAAAAACGGAAAAAAATCGAAATAAAAATGACCGAAAATGACTAAAAATCAGTGTGAAAATCGTCAAAAATCGAGAAAGATGGAATGGAAAACGCTTCGAAAAATCGCGAAAAAATTAGAAAAATTATCAAAAATCGAATGAATAACGACTGAAATACAACAAAAAACGGCAATGGCGCTAGAAAAGCCTGAAAATCCATGAAAATTGCTTTAAAATTCGAAAAAATCGGTGAACAGAAATTTGACTGAAAACGGCTGGAAAATCTATAAAAATTGATATGAAAATTGGTTAAAAATTCAAAATTTTCGAGAAAAAAATGACTGAAAATTCTCAAAAATCAGAAAAAAAAACGAAAAAAAATCGGGAGAAGATTGACTGCAATTATCTGAAATTTGGGGAAAATGAGAAAAAATACGAAAAATCGGTAAAAAATTGACTGAAATAAGACAAAAATCGGCTTAAATAGCTAGAAAAATCTGAAAATCAATGAAAATTGCATTAAAATTCGAAAAAAATCGGCAAAAATCGATTAAAAATTGACTGAAAATCATAAAAAATCAATGAATTTTGACCTAAAATTTCATTAAAATGACCAAAAACTCAATTTTAAAAAATGGAAATATTTGGAAAATTTCGAGAAAAATTAGTCGAAAATAGCTTTAAAATATGACTAAAATGTCTGAAAATCAACACGAAAAACGAATGAAAATTTTGTAATTCTCTAGAACCTTCCAGGAACTTCAATTCAATTTTTCCAGAACATCGAAGGCGAACTCTACGAGGTGGATGCCAAGAAATTAGAGATCTTGGACGAGCTGGAGGCCTATCCAACGCTATATGATCGGAAGGAAATCGAGGTGAGGAGTGAAATGGAAAAATTAAAAAAAACCAAAATTTGGAAAATTAAAAAAAAAAAAACTCACTGAAAATAACAAAATTTTATTGTATTCAGACTCTTGCTCATGCTAAATGGTCCTGGAACGAAAACTACTGTAACCTCCTTTAAAATAGTGATTTTCAGCGAACGTTTCGTAAGATCTTGGGTTTGGTGTGTCTGCGTACTTTTGGCGCTACAGTAACCCAAAAAATCTGGAAATTGAGCTAGAAAGTTCTAGAAAAGTCAGTCTAGGCCCATTTTTGACGCTGATTTCGAATTTGATAGCCGTTTTTCGTGATTTTACGAATTTCTGTCAAAAAAATCTCCAATCAACATCGTGGCCTAACTTTTTCGGCATTTTCAAACGGAAAATCGAAATTTTTTTCTTTTTTTCGGACCATCTTTGGTGGATTTTAGACCCCTATAATTGCTCAAAAAATTCCCCCAAAAATCGCTTCAGAACCTAGAAATTAGTTTTGGTAGAAGAGCCTATTAAATAGATCAATTCTATCCGTTTTACTCCAATCTCATCACTATTTTTCATCTCCTCCCCTCCTGTCATTTTGGTTCCTTGGGCTCCGCTGGAGCAGCCAAAGGTCATTCTTCTCCGTCTTTTCCCGTCAAAACTGAGGAGCAGCAGTCTCAACGAAACGACAATAGGGCGCATAGACAGGCAGACACCAGGCGATAGAGCAATTAATCCATGTCATCTCACTTTCTGCTTCTCTCTCTCTCTCTCTCACTTCCATCCCCAACTATAGTAATCTTTAGCTACTTCAAGTCTACAGTAACCCTGAAGCTTTCCTACAGTATGCCTATCAAAAACTACAGTAGCTCTGTCTCGTTCCTACAGTAATCCAACAGTCAACTACAGTTATTAACTCATGAGCAATTCTACAGTAATCCCCTACTCACAGTAGCCCTACCTTTTCTTGTAGTTCCCATAAACCAAACTACCAAACTACAGTAATCTCTAGGACTTGAAATCTACTGTATTCCATCAATTTTTCAAATGCTGAGCAATGCTACAGTAATCCTTTTTTTCTTCAAAACCCTATAATTTTCCATTTTCCCCAAATATATGAAAATAAAGTGGTCCCCATTTTCTGTCTTCTTCTTTTTCGTGTTCTCTTTCTCTCCCTCTCTTTCTCTGCGCCTCTCACTCTCTCTCTCTCTCTCCCCATCATGTAAATGCGCTTTAACGTCAAAACACCGTAGTAAGCCAATGCTTTAGGGGTTACTGTAACTTGGGTGCTTAGATTGTTCTACGGTAGACTATTAGACTACGGTAGAATTTAGCGATAGAGAAATTGGGATCAAAACCAATCAACAACAGCTGATACCGATACTACTCTCTCTCTGGCATTGAGAACGTGACTGGAAGAAGAAAACGCACATGTGTTTGATTTTTGGACTGCTGGGCTGGGTTGGCAGGAGGGGAACTAGGAAGCAAACAAACCAATAAAACCGCTTTTTCTTTTTTTTTCCAAAATGACAAAAAAAAGAGGATGTCAGCTGCATTGATTTTCAATGGGAACATAATGTATATGGTTTTGTGATCGACAAATCATCTCTTTTGGGCTTAAAATGACCATTCTTAGACTAAAAATTGACAAATTGGTTCGCAATACCTAGATTCTGGAAATTTCGATGTGCAATCAGGCAACTTTAAGCGCAAAAATTCAGAGTTCGAAAAAACGGCCATTTTGAGCCGAAATAAAATTGTAGCGATTATGAGATTAGGTCTAGAAAATATGGTTAGCAGTGAAAATTGCCAATTTTCGTGTGATGTTTTCTTTGAGCTCAATTATCTCGGCTCCTATAAAAGATATCAAAATTCTATCAACTGATAAACAGTTTATCATAAAATGAGCAATCTTTTATCAATTGACAAATTTCTGATATCTCTTATAGGAACCGAGATAATTGAGCTCAAAGTGGACGTATTGGAAGCGTGCTTTTTGAGCTCATTTATCTCGGTTACTGTAACAGATATCAAAAATCTGTCAACTGATAAAAGATTGTTCATCTTGTCAGAAACATTTTATCTGTTAACAAAATTTTGATATATCTCATAGGAACCGAGATAATTGAGCTTGAAGTTAGCGCTCCATTGAACAAAAAGAAAACGGCAGTTCGAATTTTTGAGAAAAATGGGAAATTTCCAATAATTTTGGGACAGTTCCTTGGACAATGCATTTTTCGAGGGACCAAATTTGGAATTTATTTAAATTCTAATAATTAAAAAATTCGGAAAATAAGAAAAAAAATTCGAAATTGGAATTTTTTTTCAGAATTTCAGCAAAAAATAGAGAAGAAATCGTCTGAAAATTGATATTTTTTGAGAATTTTCTAGAAAAAAAAATCCAATTTTCAAAAATAAATAAAAAATCTCAAATTTCGACGAAAAACGTCCAACGCACGACAGAGAAACTGACCAATACACCAGTTGTCTCTTTTCTCTCTTTCTCTGCGCCTCTCTCTCTCTCTCTCTCTTTATCATTTATCAGTTAAAAATCAGCCAGTTAAAAACCCAGAAAAATCGAAAAAAGCAGGAGGAACAACGTGAAGAACTGAAGAATAGAAGGAAAGGCAAATGTGCCTGCGTCTCTCGTCTCGGCGTACTCTCTCGCCGTGGAAAGATCGAGAAGAAAGGAGAAAAGGGAGAGAGAGAGTGAGAGACGCAGAGAGAGTGAGAGGCGCAGAGAAAGAGAACACGAGGAAGAAGAAGAAGAAGACAGAAAATGAGGACCACTTTATTTTTATATATTTGGGGAAAAAGAAAAAAGGATTACTGTAGCATTGCTCAGCATTTGAAAAATTGATGGAATACAGTAGATTTCAAATCCTAGAGATTACTGTAGTTTGGTAGTTTGGTTTATGGGAACTACAAGAAAAGGTAGGGCTACTGTGAGTAGGGGATTACTGTAGAATTGCTCATGAGTTAATAACTGTAGTTGACTGTTGGATTACTGTAGGAACGAGACAGGGCTACTGTAGTTTTTGATAGGCATACTGTAGGGAAGCTTCAGGGTTACTGTAGACTTGAAATAGCTAAAGATTACTATAGTTTGGGATGGGATGTTTACTGGAAAAGGGTTACTGTAGATTCCACGTGACAAGGATTACTCTATTTTTCGCAACTTTAGGACTACTGTAGCGCGTTATAGGGATACTGTAGCAATAATTCAAGATTACTGTAGAATTGCTCATGAGTTAGTTACTGTAGCCGACTATTGGATTACTGTAGTTGGGGATATAGCTACTGTAGATGCCACGTGATAAGGATTATTGTAGCTTTTTGGGACTTCAGGACTCCTGTGGCTCGTTCTAGGGATACTGTAGAAAAGGTTCAGGATTACTGTAGATAGGTTTCGAAAGCTGGGTTACTGTAGTTTTCAATTGGATTACTGTAGTTTTGGATATACAACTACTGTGAATGCCAGGATTACTGTAGGTTCAGGATCCTCAAGACTACTGTAGCCCCAGTTCTAGGGTTATCGTAGGGAAGAGTTCAGGATTACTGTAGAACTCATCATGGGTTACTGTAGCTTGTTCTAGGATTACTGTAGCTTGTTTGCAGATCAAACTCTCCACGGACGGCTCGATTCGCCACGCTTACATCTACCTGCTCCGCTCGTGGCGCGCGGATCTTCTTGCCACGTCATCAGTCATGTTGACGACCTACTCAAGTCTTGGACCACATGGACGCGTCTATGTCGACACGTAAGCCACGTCCCCATAAGCTCCGCCCACACCTTCTAGACTCCGCCCCTTCTCAAAAGAAAAATTCAGAGAATTGGGTAACTTTTGGTCTGTTTTAGGATCCCAAAAGCCTCGGCCCCCCTTAAAAATAGGCCACGCCCACAAAGTATAAATTGGCTCCGCCCATTTTTTTTTCAAAAAAACATCTAGCGAAATGGGATCATTTTTGACCTATCTCAAGGATATCTAAAATAAGCTCCGCCCACTTCGAACCGTAATAAATCCTATTTCGTCATAGGCCCCGCCCTTTCTCGTCAGCCTCCGCCCACTTGTCTCAGAGCGCTTTCTAGAAACTTCCATGAATTTTTCCGACAGCGCAAATAAGCTCCGCCCACGTTCCAGTAATATCGTTAGGCTCCGCCCCTTTTAAGGGCTAAGCTCCGCCCACTTTTGGCTATTCAATAGAAATGTTTAAAGAAGACTCCGGCCACCACTTCAAACGGATCCATTCAGAATTTTCAGCCACGCCCCCTTGAAAGTGGGCGGAGCTTCTTTTTGAAATTTTCGAATTTTCACAAAATTTAAGCCACGCCCCTTTTCAGATATTTGCGCGCAAAAGAGATGGTGGAAGACGTCGAAAGTGGGCTGTATCATGAGATTCTTGGTGCTGATCATCCATTGCTCATTGAATTGAAGAGTCGTGCTTAGAAGGTGGGGGGGGGGGGCGGAAATTTCAGAAATCTTGAAATTTCAGAAAATCTTAAAATCTCAAAAATTCAAAAAATCTGAAAATTTATAAACTTTAAGATTTTTTGCGATTTTCAGATTTTTTTTTGAAAGTTTCAGATTAAAAAAAAAAACATTGAAAATCTCAAATTTTTTTGAGTTTTTTTGTGAAAATTCGAGTTTTTTGGGAATTTAATTTTTCAGATTTTTTTCGAAAATTATAAGATTTTTCAGAAAAATTAAGATTTTATTGTAATTTTTCACTTTTTTAAAAATTTAGATTTTCCAGATTTTTTCGACTAAACTTTTTCACAATTTTCAGCGAAAACGTCACCAGCGAGGAGGACATGTATCAGTAATAATTAGTTGTGATTTTCTGGGTTTTTGGTCGAATAAAATACAATTTTTCCAGGGATTTTTGACACAGGAAATTTTCAAAAATTGGCCAATTTTTAGGGGGGAATGCTTAAAAATTTATATCCAGACAAAAAAAAGAAGAAACCAAAGAAAGGGGAAACGGGTGACAGAAGGGGCAGAAAAAACCATAGAGAAAAGGGAAAAAGGGGGCGGGGCTTCATAGAAAAACCGTAGAAAAAATCGACAAAAAACGGGGGAAATGACCTTGAAAATCGGCGATTTTTTCCGATAATTTTTGAGGGTCAAATTGCTGTTTTTGCCTCAAAAAAATTGGTGAAAAATCTCGGGATTTCTCGATTTCAATCTATAGAAAATTGTCGATTTTTTGAGCACAAAAAATGTGAAAAACGGGGACCAAAAAATGATAGGGAAAAAAGAGACAAAACAAGTTGATAAGGGGGACGTACTTATAGATAGAAAAAAAAGAAACACTACTAACCAAGAAAGCGGGTAACACAGAGTGCTCGAAAAAAAAAAGAAGGAATTTTTGAATCAATTAGGCCTGTGTCTTCCTCAAATGCGGTGGAACGTACGATCCACTTTTTGGTGCTCCTAGATTCGAAGCTGGAGCAGCAGATGGAGTAGCAGCTGGCTCCGAACGTGTTGGAGCTGGTCCAGTCGAGCTGAGCATGCTCTGAAAATTTTTGAAGGCTTTAGCAGGATTTTTTGGCTAGTTTTGCCTGTTTTAGGTCATTTTAGGCTCCGCTACGTGGGAAGAAGCTCCGCCTACTTTTGACGAATTTAGCTCGTTTTTGAGGATGTTTTGAGGTCATGTTGAAAATTCCAATGAGGCTCCACCCCCTTTTGATTGCTTGTTTTTGAATTTTTCGACTCCGCCCATTTTCTGAAGATCTGACTGGCTCCGCCCACTATTTAGGGGTACAGATAGGCTCCGGCAAAATTATCTTCAAAAATCTTTTGGTCACAATTTTTGGCCAATTTTGGAAATTCGAAAGAGGCTCCGCCCACTTTTTTTCGGGGTGAAACTATGATTTTCAGCTCAAAATACTCGTTTTTCGGAGATTTTAACTTTGAAAAAATTGAATTTTTCTGTTTTTTTTTGAAAGAAATTACAGCTTTTTTGTAATTTCAGTCTGAAAATCTCGATTTTTAACTAGAAAAATGTCAATTTTTGGCATTTTTATCTGCAATTTCCGATATTTTCAACTATTCTCACTAGTCAGTACAAATCTAGCTCCAGAAGCGAGACTGGGAAGTCTGGAACATCGAAACAAAAAAAAGTTCATTTTTTCTCTAATACCTCTAATAGAAGGGCACCCGAATTGCAAACTTTGAGAAAATGTATCTAGGTTCCTGTAAAAGATATCAAAAAGTGGCCAATTGATAAAGCGTTTATCATAATATCACAAACACTTTATCAGTTAGCCGTAATTTGTTATCTTGCATAGAAATCGAGATATATGGGATCGACAGTAGGCCCTGCTATTAGAGGTTTAAGAATCAAAAAATCTCATTATCGCTTACCTTGGCAGCAGCGAGAGCACTCTCACGTCCACTTCCCGAAATCGTAGTATAGGCTCTTGGTGGTCCGCTTGACGATGGTCCAGTGTTGCTACTCATTCCACTTCCAGCCTTCACCCATCCACCGGCGCCTTTTCCTTCCTCCTTCTTGACTTTTTCAATTTTACTAGCATCCGCCAACGACGGGAACGCCGCATCACTGCTCATATCGAAGTTAGCAGCTGGTCCACGTGGTCGATAAACTCCTCCCGTCGTTTTTCTGAGTGCTGGTGGCTTATAAGCAGCAGCCATTGCCTTATCAGAGATTGTCACTGCCTGTTCAGTCTCCTCGGACGCCTTCTTTTCAGAGCTCACTTGTCCCCAGGTCTTTGTTTCGTGGGCCTCACGATCTTCGTGTTCCTCGACGTTAACTTGATCTTGCTCACTTTCAAGACCCATATCCTTGATTCTGAGTCCTTCGAGTCTGAAAATAGTACATTTTAGGAGGTGGATATTTGATATTGAGTGAAGATTTTGGCTCAAAACGCGTCAGAAACGGCAAATTTTCAAGTTTTACAAGTGAAAAATTGGTATTCAGAGCATTTAGGAGCAATTTCTGAATTTTTGGCTAGAATTATGGAAAAATCGGCGGTTTTAACCCAATTTTCAGCTTTAAACCTTAAAAAATTGGTGTATTTTCAAATTCGGCGGTTTTTAGCCTAAAATTGACAATTTTCAGCTCTAAACTAGTGATTTTTAGCCCTGAAATTGACGATCTTCAGGCTAAAATTAACGATTTTGGGCTAGAAATTGACGATTTCCAGCACTAAAATTAGCTATTTCTAGTTTAATATTGGTGATTTTCAGCACAAAATTGACATTTTTCAGCCCGAAAATGGCGGTTTTAAGCTCAAAATTGAAAATTTTCTGACCAAAAATCGAATTTTCAACACTCGTCGACATAGACTCAATCTGGTCCGATTTCAAGCAAATCGAGTAGCTTTTGGGGCACTAAAGATGCCGAAAAACCCGATTTTTATAACTTTTACAGGTCAAAAATTAGTTTTTAGAGTCGAAAATAGACTTTTTGGCTCACCTTCCCTGACTCTCTCCATACTCGATCCATTCGCTCTCCTCAGTTTGACTCTGAGCCTTCTCTTCCTCTTGTCCTCGCTTCTCAACCTGTTCTTCTGGCTCATGCTCATATTCCTCTTGTCGCTTGGCTCTTCGCTCCAGCGCCTGACCGACTTCCTCGATTTTGACGGCCGTCTTCTTCTTTTTGTCCTTTTTCTTGGCGAAAAATGCGCTCAAATCGTCGCTCATTTTGGCTGAGGGTAGCTGAAAAAAATTATTTAAATATAATTTTTTGGCCTAAAATTCGGGAAAAAAGGAGAAAAATTGGGAAAAAATTAATATAAACCAGGTGGAAACTGTGCAGAGAGACCCTGCGCACAGAGAACGATCGACACAATCAACTGGAACGCACTGAAAATGGGAAGAGAACGCGACGCGGCACGCAACGCGCGCACCGTGGCGGATGGTTGACAGAAATTGGCGCCGGAAATCGTGGAAATGAGGGAATTTATGGTGGAAAATGAGTTTTAAGTGTTTCGCCACCTAATTTTTCAAAAAATTCAGCTAGAAAATTGCGAAATTTGGCTGAAAATTGTCTGAAAAAATCCGGTTTCGCAACAAAAAACCAAAAAAAAGAGAATTTGCGAAACGCGCCAAGATGGATACTGACGCATTTCCAGATCCCTTGGCGCAAAACTCGTTTTTCAATAATATTTTTCCATTTTTTCAGGATTTTTCAACGATTTCTAAATTAAATCAAAGGGAATTTCAAAGTTTTTAATATTAAAAAAATTGCCGATTTTTTCTCCATGTCGCAAAACCAATATCAATAAATTTGACCCCGAAAAATTGGGATTTTTAGGCCTCTCTGTGTATGCTAGAGGAATCGCGCTTGGTGGACGAGCTAACCGCTTCTGTGATATCTGATCAGACGTATTATCTGCTGCTGATTCCAAGTCTCATTCCGGTTTTTATCGTCTTTCATTTCTTTATCTGGCTGGGTAAGAGAGTCTCTCTCTTAGAGAGAATTAGAGAAAAAGAAGGAAATTCCCATTTTTTTTGTTTTTTAGGTAACGAATTCTTCGTGAACAACTAGAGAAGCAATGGCGAACGTCGAAGCGATTCCTGGCTATTTGACAGCCACTTTTCCAACGCTTCCAATTGAGATCAAGGTGTGGAAGAGGAAAAGTGACTAAATAGATAAAAGAATAATAGATAAAAATAGATAAAAGCACACTAAGAAAGAACCGAAACTAAGTAAAAATCGCCTGAAATTTGCTGAAATCAACCGAAAATCGCTAAAAGTGATGTAAAATCAGCAAAAATCCTATCTAGTAAAAATTTTCTTTAAAAAACAATTTCCGGCCTAAAAAACTGGAAAATCATCATTTTAAGTTCAATTTTCAGCTTTGAAACCTAATTTTCAGCCCAGAAATCATGAAATTTGACTTTAGAAAGCACTTTTTCGGCTCTAAAAGTTTGCATTTTTGGCGACCGAAAATAACTGAAAATTCAATGTTTAAAACCTGATTTTTCAGCATGAAAGGCTAATTTTTGACCTAGAAGCTCTCAAAAAATCGAAATTTCCCTTCAAAAATCAGTGAAATTGGCCATTTTTAGCCCTATAATTGACGATTTTTGCCTTAAATTAGTAATTATTAGTCTAAAAAAGGGGATTTTTAGCCGGAAATTGATGATTTTCAGCTTAAAATAGTAGTTCGTTTTCAGTTCTAAAACTGACGATTTTAGCCCAAAAATTGATGATTTTCAACATAAAATTGATGATTTTTAGCTTAAAAATTGGTGATCTTTCAGCTTAAAATTGGTATTCTTTGCCGTTAAATTGGTGATTTTTCGTCTAAAATTCATGATTTTCAACCAAAAATTTCATAATTTTGAGTCTAAATTGCCGAATAAATGACATTTTAAGCCTAAAATAGATAGCTCATACCCTAAGGTTGGTGATTTTCAGCTCAAAATTAGTGGTTTTAAGCTCTAAAATTGGTGATTTTCGGCTCAAAATTGGTAATTTTCAGCCCTTAAAATGATGATTTCAAGCACCAAATTGGTATTTTTGCTATTTTAAAACCCAGGAAAACGCAATAATCGAAATTTCACCTCAAAAAATTTTTCAACTCAAAAAAAACCACTATTTTCTTCAGGACTACGTCTCCGCAATCCTCAAGGAGAATTCCGATGAGATCACGTCTCTGGACGAAGTCATGGACGCCGTCGGCGAACATCTCCAAGCCTCCGTCGAGAATCTGTGCGAAGTAGGCGCCCAAAACGCGTGTCAACAGCTTCTGAAGCTCCTCCACGGTGATAATCTTCCAAAAGTGGTGAAACAACAAGAAGCAACCACAAAACGACTCGAACAAACTGTGGATATGGCCGCTGTCGACCAGAATTTCGATGCTTTATCGAGTATTTGGAAGGTTCAAACTAGAGACACACCGACTATCGTTGATAAGAAAAAGCTGGCGAAGGCGGAGGATCGAGCAGCAGCGAAGGCGGAAGCTAGAGCTGATGCTCCTGTCGAGAGGAAGAAAAAGAAGAATGAGCCATCGGCAACGGCGTCGCAGGCACCGATTAGGGATTCAGGAGCACGAGGAGCCAATGCGAAGGATATTAAGTTGGAAAGTGTGGATATTTCAATTGGAACCAAGCAGTTGCTATCATGTGCGGATGTTACGATGGCTTACGGTAGAAGATATGGATTGGTGGGAAGAAATGGAATTGGAAAAACGACACTGCTCAAAATGATCTCCAGTAAACAGCTGAAAATCCCGTCGGGGATTTCAATGTTGTCTGTGGAGCAGGAGGTTGAGGGAGATGATACGCTGGTGTTGGATGCCGTGTTGATGTCAGATACCAAGAGACAGACTCTGATTGATCGGGAGAAGACGTTGCAGGTAAGAGGCTCTCACCGTGAGGAGCTTCCTGAGGATGAGAGAATGGAAAAAAGGCGTAAAATTTCCTGTAATTAGCTTAAAATAGGCTGAAAATGAATGAAAAATCCCTGAAAATCGGTTCAAAATAGCCGAATATTGAGTGAAAATGACGAAAAAAGATGAAAAAAATCATAGAAAATTGGCTTAAAATAGCTAAAATACGCTGAAAATCAGGAAAAAATGATGAAAACTGGCTTAAAATAGCCGAAAATGGACTCTGAATCACTAAAAAGGATGTAAAAATCGTGAAAAATAGCTTAAAATCAACTGAAAATGAGGAAAATTGGGTTAAAATTGTCTAATATTGAATTTCTAAGATTTAGAAAATTTGAAATTCTGAAAATTGGAAATCATGATATTTTGAGATTCGGAAATTCAAAAGTCTGAAAATCTTAGATTCTGAATTTCTGAAGATTTGGAGTTCTGAAGTTCTGAAATTCTGACATGTGAAATTTCAAAATTCGGAATTTCGAAAATTGGAGATTCTGAAATTCTGAAACTGAAGATTCTGAATTGCTAGAATTCTGGAGTTCCGAAATCCAAAATTCGGGAAAGCTTCGATTCTGGAATTCTGAATTTTGGAATTTTGAGATTAAAAGATTATGAAAGTCAGCATTTCTGGAGTTCTGTAAATCCTAAATTCTGAGATTCTAAACGACTGAAATTTTGAAAGTATAAGATTCTGGGAATTCTGGTTTACGGAAAGCTGGATCTTTGGAATCCTGAGATTCTGAAACTCTAAGATTCTAAGATTTTGAGATTCTAGTATTCTCAACTTCTAAGAATCTGAAATTCCTGAATCCAAACATCTGATACATAAGATTCTAAAATCCCAAATTTCAAAATTCAAAATTCGAATTTCTGAAAACTAGATATTCTAAAAGTCCGGTTTGTGACGTTCTGAAATTCTGAGATACTGAATATCTGAAAATGTTAGATTCTAAGGTTCTGAAATTCTCAGATTCTGAAACTCTGAAATTTGATATTCTGAACGTCGAAGCTTTTGAGATTCTGAAATTCTGTGATTCTAAGGTTTTGAAAGTTACAGAATCGGAAATTTCGAGATTCTGGAATTCTGAAACACTTGAAATCCCAATTAAATTGACACTCAAATTTCTGAAAATTCGAGATACTGAATTCTGGATATCCAGTACTCAAAATTCTGAAATTTCTGGCATTTCGAAACTCTGTGATTCTGAGATTTTGGAAATTACACATTCACAAATCTTGAGATCTCAAGATTTTGAAAATTTTCAACCAAATTTTTTTTTCAGTCCCGCCTCAACAAGGACAGTATCACCGACGCTGAAAAAACCAAATGGAATGATGAGTTATCGAAGCTCTACGTCGAAATGGAAGCCCTTCAACTGGACAAAGCGCCCGCCCGTGCTTCTTCCCTCCTCTACGGTCTTGGATTCACTCCAGATGAGCAGAAACGACCGACGAAGGAGTTCTCAGGAGGATGGAGAATGCGTGTGGCTCTTGCCAGAGCTCTATTCGTTAAACCTGATCTTCTATTGCTTGACGAACCGACGAACATGTTAGATATGAGAGCAGTTTACTGGTTGGAAGGACATTTACAAGGATGGGAAGGAACAATTCTCACCGTCTCTCACGATCGTAAATTCCTGAATGAGATTTGTACGGATATTGTGCATTTGCACACGAGAAGACTGGATCATTATAAAGGAAACTACGATCAGTTTGAGAAGACGATGAAGGAGAAGCTGACACAACAGCAAAGAGAGTACGAGGCGCAGCAATCACTCAGACAGCACACTCAGGAATTCATTGACAAGTTCCGCTATAATGCCAAGCGAGCGCCGATGGTTCAGTCGAGAATTAAGATGTTGGAGAAGTTGTGAGTCTTTTTTTTTGGGTGGATAGCCGCTGAAAAATAGTTAAGAGCCACTAAAAATGAAGGAAATAGTGGAATTGTGAGCGGAAAAAGTGATTTTTTGGCTCATTTCCAGCTCAAAAGTTGCTAATTTTTGGCAAAAAACTGCTGATTGTTAGCAGCTCTGAAATTAGTGATTTTCAGCCTGGAGCTAAAATGTGATACTTCACAGCATTAAAATAGAGGTTTTCAGCCTAAAAATGATGATTTTCAAGGTTAAGTTGATAATTTTCAGCCTTAAATTCGTGACATTAACCCTAATTTCAGCCACAAAATTGGCAATATTCGACCTAGAATTTGGTAATTTTCAGCCTAAAAATTAGTGATTTTCAGCCTGAAATTTGGTGATTTTCAGTCTGAAATTAACTAATGTTTAGTTCTGAAAACTTGTGATTTTTGCTTAAATTTGGTGATTTTTAGCCGCAAATTTGGTAGTTTACAGCCTAAAATAGGGAATTTTCGACCTAAAAGCACTTTTCAGCTCAAAATTAGGGATTTTTAACCTAAATGTCAGTAATTTTTAGCTGAAAATTAGTAATTTTCAGCGTAAAACTCAGTAATTTTCAGCTTAAAATCAGGGGGTTTTTAACCTAAATTTCAGTAATTTTGAGCTGAAAATTAGTGATTTTCAGCCTAAAATTCAGTAATTTTCAGTTTAAATCAGGGGTTTTTAAACTAAAAATTAGTGATTTTTAGCCTATGATTTGTGATTTTAACTCTGAAATTGGTGATTTTGAGCTGAAAACGAACTGCTTTAGCCTAAACGTGGCAATTCTAGCTTTTTTGAGCTCAGAAGCGTTTTGCTGGCTTTAATTGAGTCATTAACTCTGTAGTGCCGATTTCAGCATTTTTTGACATAGTATTGCTTATTTATCAAAAAATCATGTTTCTAAATGAAAAATCTCAAAAATTGCATTCAGCTGATGGGATTTCGGCTGAAATTCGACTTTTTTAAACCAACAAATCTTGAAAATCTCAAAAATCGTGATATTTTCAGACCAGTGCTACTTCCAGTCGAATTGGAATCGGACATCCACTTCAAGTTCCCAGAATGTGAAATTCTGAATAACCCCGTTCTCCAACTGGACGAGGTTTCCTTCCGCTACAACGACGATTCCCCATATCTGTTCCGAAAGCTGAATTTGGGAACTCATGCCAACTCGAGAATCTGTATTGTCGGAGAGAACGGTGCTGGTAAAACGACGCTTCTGAAGCTCCTCCTAGACGACCTCCAACCGACTGTCGGTCTCCGAAATGTGAATCGTCGTATTCGAATTGCCTACTTCACTCAGCATCACGTCGATCAACTGGATATGGAGACGTCGGCCATTGAGGTTCTCATGAAGAATCATCCGGGAAAGACCCAGGAGGACTATCGAGCAGCCCTGGGACGTTTCGGTTTGGCTGGTGATATGGCTCTGCAGAGTGTGGAGACGTTGTCTGGAGGACAGAAGTCCAGATTGGCTTTCGCGAATTTGGCACTCATGGCGTAAGTTTTTGGACGGAAGATTGATGTCAAAAATGATCAAAGAGTGGTCCAAAATCAGCAAAAAATGATTCAAAATCAGCTAAAAATTGTCCAAAGTGGGCTTAAATTGGCCTAAATTGGTCCAAAAATAGCTTAAAATGGTCTAGAATTTGTCAAAAATGGCCAAAAAGTATCCTGAAATGATCCAGAACGAGCCGAAAATTCCCCAAAGTTAGCCAAAAATGGTCCCAAATCAGTCAAAAATGATCTAATAGGAAGATTTTCTAAATTTCACACCGAAAAATCTGAAATTCCGCCCTGAAAGACAAAATGTTGACTCGAAAAATCTCAATTTTCGAGAGATTAGAAATTCCAACGGAGATTCCAGCATAAAAATCACAAAATTCGACGTAAAAATTTGAATTTTGGACCAAAAAATCTAAAATTTCAAGCCAAAAATTCTGAAATTCCGATCTAAAAATCGCGAATTTCAAGCTAAACATATGAATTTTTGACCGAAAAATGTCAAATTTCGAGCCAGAAATTCTGAATTTCGAGGCTAAAAAATGTACATTTTGAACCAAAAATTTCTTTTAAGGCCGAAAATTCGAGTTTTGGACCTAGAAATCTATATTTTGAGCTCTGAAATCTCAATGTTTTAGACCAGAAAATCTGAATATTCTATCTGAAAATCCCGTATTTATCTCATAAAAACCACAGCTTCAAATGTTGATTTTGAGCAATTTTTGGCCGATTTAGGATCATTTCAGAATACTTTTGCACCATTTTTGACAAATTTTAGACCATTTTAAGCTATTTTTTGGACCATTTCAGGCCAATTTACGCCCATTTTTGACTATTTCAAGCAGATTTTGAAGCACTTTAAACCGATTTGGGCAATTTTCTCCAGAAACCACTGGTGACTCAATTCACATACCTCAGTTTTGCAGACCCAACTACCTGATTCTCGACGAACCGACGAATCACTTGGACGTCGAAACCGTCGAAGCCCTGGGAAAAGCGTTGAATTCGTTCAACGGAGGCGTCGTTCTCGTTTCTCACGACGAGCAATTGATTGAATTGGTCTGTAAGGAGCTGTGGGTGGTCAAGGATCGAATGGTGACGACACTGGAGGGAGGACTCGAGGAATACCGGAAACAAGTCTACAAACAGCTTCAATTGGCTTCTTAATTAGCCCCTTTTTTGGCGTTTTTCAACCCCCGTAAATTTGAATTTCTCGGTTGCTTTTTTGACCCCCCATTATACATCAATTTCCCTGTTCGTTTAATTAATTTTGTGGTTTTTTACGGTTCTTTTTAAGTTAAAAAAATGATATATTAAAGCTATTTTTGAGCCTAAAACCACGCAAAAAATTTCTGAAATGTCCAGAAATCTCTGAATCAGACCTAAAAATCTTCAAAATCTTCAAAAAATCTGAAATTTTAATCTAAAAATCTCTGAATCTACCACCAAAAATGTGTTAATTTTCGAACCCAAAAATCTCTGAAAAATCCTTTATTTTAAATTTAAAAAGTTCAAAAAATTAAGAATGAGTAAGAGCTCTGGCCTGGAAAATGACACACAAGTCCTCCTTGGTGACGTCATCGTGGAGCAGGTACTCGAGTTGGTAGGGCTTGTCGTTCTGAAAAAAAAAATATTGATTTTTGGGTCAGAAATTTTGAACTTGGGGCTAAAAATTCTGAAATTTTGAGTCTGAAAATCTTGGAATTTTAATTTAAAAAAATCAAAATTCTGATCCCGAAATTTCGGTTTTTTCGGCTCAAATTTTTTATTCGAAATTTCAAATTCCCGCCAAATCAATTTTCGAAAAAAAAAAAATAAGATTTTTTTTCTGCCAAAATTCTGAAATTCTAGCCGGAAAGTCTCAAATTTTGATACCAAAAATTTGAATTTCCGGCTCAAAAAATCAAAATTTATCATTTTTTTTTTCAAATTTTCAAATTCCCGCCAAATCAATAACGCGCTCCACCGCGCGCAAACCTTCAACAAATTGATGATAGCTGGAGTGTCGGAGAAGTCCAGCTCCAAATTGACGACTTGGTTGTTTCCTGGCTTAATTGGGCACGGGACACCGTTGGAGCACGCGTCGATGTTGTTCCTTGAAAAATTAATGGGTTACTGTAGTTTTCAGAGGATTACTGTAGAATATTTGAGTTTTTTTGAATAGGCGAGAAACGACGAAAAATGGACGAAAATTGAGGTTTGAGGTGGACTACTGTAGACTTACAGTAATCCAAAAGTTGGTACGCTTGTCCATCCACAAGTATTTGGGTTCCAACTCCAAACCTTGATAGTTTGCTTCAATCCAGGGCTGGAATACGTGGATTTTGGGTCGTTGATGGTGGTGGCGATGAGAAGAGGTTCGGTAAGACGGATTGGGTATTCGTAGGTACCTAAAAATATGGATATTCTGAAAATGGAGAGAATTCGCTGAAAAATGAGCCGAAAATCATGGAAAACGGAGCATTTTGAGCGGAGATACGCGTCGTTGAAATTGGAGGAGCGAGAGAGTGTGGGAAAGGAGGAGACGCAGAGCACTCTAGCTAGAGTGTCTCGTTTCTCTGCGTCTCTCCGGAAACTTTAAAGGCTTATAACTCGGCTTAGAATAGTGCTAGAAACTTCTAGAGAAAACCAAAATGTCTAAAATTTGATGCTAGACAATATTAAGACAAGTACCTTCTGGAAAAATGATTTTCTGAAACTTCAAAAATTGGAATTTTGTGATTTTCAGGTTAGGGTTTTGTTAAACTAGTTCTGAGCTTCCAAACACACTTGGAATCAGTTTTCTAGCTATATTTAGAAGCGAGTTATGCGCCTTTAAACGATACGCCAGGAGACATAAGGAGAAAGGAAGAGACGCAGACAATCAGAGCACACTAGCTTCTCTGCGTCTCTCCAAAACTTCAAAGGCTCATAACTCGCTTCAAAATGAAGCTAGAACGAATTTGAAAAGACGACTCGAGCTGAAATTTTTAGCTTTACACTCTGAGAAGGAATCTTGTCAAAACGACGAAACTCTAGAGCTCCGAAATTTATTATTTTGAGAATCTTCAAATTTTAAAAATCGAACAAGATTGAGCTAGACCTGAGCTTGAAAATGCGCCTAAAATCAACTCTCTAGCTCTATTTTGAAGCGAGTTACGCGCCTTTGAAGGAAACAGCACTAGACACTACAGGAAAGGAGGAGACACAGAGAAACGAGACGCCTCTAGCTTCTCTGCGTCTCCCCAAAACTTCAAACGCCTATAACTTGGCTTAGAATAGAGCTAGAAAAGTTTTGAAAACGCAGAAATGTTTGAGATTTTAAGGGAAATCTTTTCAGAACAGTAGTTTCCAGAATAAGAAAGTTTCGAATTTCAAAAAAATTTGATAGAATTCACAGATTCCATTTATTTGATGAGGCTTGTTTTGAACTTCAAAATTCGCTTAAAATCAGTTCACTAGCTCTATTTTGAAGCGAGCTTTGTGCCTTCAAAGTTTCGGAGAGACGCAGAGAAGCTAGAGTGCCATGCTTGCCTGCGTCTCCTCTTTTCTCGTAGTGTCTAATGGTGTGTTCTTTAAAGGCGCATAACTTGCTTCAAAATAGAGCTACAGCGTTGATTTAGAGCGCATTTTGATTATGAAAACAAGGGCAATCGAGTGAATATAAAATTTGATACTTTTGGAAATTTTTGAAGTACGTTTTTATTTTCAAAAACTTTCTATAAAAATTTGAAAATGTCATTTTGATCACGCTTGTTATGTGCTTCAAAATGAGCCTAAAATTAACTCTCCACGCCTTCTTCAAAGCGAGTTATGCGCCTTTAAACCCAAAAGTCCAGTAGGGCGCATTTGCATACCCTTCTTATCCGTTGGATTCACATTAGTGACCATAACCGGCCCACTGGAACATTGCCACCAGGTAACCTTCGTTTCGGTACTATTCGGCCACGTGTCACATGCCGACGAGAGAGCAACCAAGGAGAGGAGACACAGACAACGAGAGAGCATCCTCTGGAAATACAGGGGGTTACTGTAGGCGCCTTTAAACCGATATTTTGAGCAGGGAATAATTTTCAAAAAGCGAAAATGAAGGTTTTCTTGCAACAGGAAAAGAAGAAGAAGAGCAGAAGTAATCAAATTATCAGTGGTGATAAGGAAAAGAGCACATGGCTGAAAATTTCAGAAAAACCACGTTTTTTTTATTGGGGGACATAAAAAACGGTGCTAAACAGTTTGGGAGGAACTGTACCGGGTGTTGTATTCCGGAATTGTAAAAAAATCAAACATTTAAAGAGTTATAAACTTTGAGGAATATTCAAACTTATTGGGTTTTATGTTTTTCAGATTGGCCTTGTTTTCAGCATCAGAATGAGCCCAAAATGAAATTCCTACGTCTATTTTAAGCCAAGTTATGCGCCTTTAAAGGGAAAAGAGGAGACGCAGATAAGCAGAGCGCTCTCGTTTCTCTGCGTCTCTTCGAAACTTTAAAGGCGCATAACTCGCTTCAAACTAAGCGTAGGGAGTTAATTTTAGGCGCATTTTGAAGCACTGAACAAGCCTAATCAAAGAAATGCAGTATTGGCACAAAAAATTACCAAATTCGAGAATTTTGGTAATTTGAAAATTTATGTGGCGAAAAAATTTGGCTTGACATTCCAAGCATTTCTGTGTTTTCAAAACTTTTCTAGCTCTATTCCAAGCCGAGTTACAAGGCTTTGAAGTTTCGGAGAGACGCAGAGAAGCTAGAGTGCTCTGCTTGCCTGCGTCTCCTTCTTCTCCATGGTGTCTCGTTGTGTTTTCTTTAAATGATCATAACTTGCTTCAAAATACAGCTGTAGAGTTGATTTTTAATGCACTTTGAAGCTGAATATAGGGCAAACAGCATGATCGGAATTTTCATATGTTTTGAGAGTTTAAAATCAGATTTTATCAATGGGGTTTTCATAGAAAGATTGTGCATAAAATTCTGTCCATTTCTTCGTTTTTAAAACTTCTCCAGCACCATTCTAAGCCGAGTTATAAGCCTTTGAAGTTTCAGAGAGACTAGAGTCGTCTTGTTGTCTGCGTCTCACCCCTTTTCATAGTACCTCATAGCGTTTCTCTAAAAGGTCAAAATTCAAATTTTGAAATTTCAAAATTTTGCTTTCCAGAACGAATTTATATTAATAAAATCTGCCATACAATTTTAGACATTTTGGTTTTCTCTAGAACTTTCTAGAATTTCTCTAAGCCGAGTTATGAGCCTTTAAAGTTTTAGGAGAGACGCAGAGAAGCTAGATTTGTCTGCGTCTCCTCCATTCTGCTACTCCCTCGCTCTTCCAAAGCGTATCTCTGCTCAAAATGCTCCATATTCAATTATTTTTAGCTCATTTTTCAGCAATTTTTCTGTATTTTCTGCGTCTTTTGTTCTCTGGATGACAGTTCTGAATGTTTGATGCCTAGTGGTTTCTGTTAGCTTATCATCAAATTTGTGAAAGTTTGGCAACATTTTCTTGTGTATGTACATTGAAAAAAATCTAAAAGTTATGTACAAAAATTTTTATTAGTGTGTCAGATTTAATTACCCCGTGTTATAATGCAAGAAAACAAGGAAAAAAATATAGCAATTAAAGCACAACTTCAGGAATCTTCCGGAATCTTCCATTTACTGAAGGAACGCCCACGCTTGGACCATCATACAGGCATCGTCTCCAGATGTGTTATCATGAAGCATGTACTCCAATTGATATGGCTGATTATCCTTCAAAAGCGAAATGATCTGCTCGAATTGTGTGAAATCGATGACGACGTCGAGCTCTTGGTTTCCTGGCCTCACTGGGCATGGAACTCCATGGTCGCAGGCGGAGAGATCCTTTCTGAAATTTTGAAATGTTGATGATAAGAACAAGCAAAAAATTTGAGGTCGACTGGTTTTTAGTAGAACTTTGTAGCGTTATTTTGAAGCGAGTTATGATGGATTAAAGCTTGAAGAGACGCAGAGAAGCAGAGGGACTGCTTGTCTGCGTCTCCTCCTTTTTCATAGTGCCTGACGTCGTTTAATTTCAAAGGCGCATACCTAACTTGATTCAAAATAGAGCTAGTTGATTTTAGGCGCATTTTGAAGCTCAGAACTAGCTTATCTAAGCTTGCACAAAAACTTGCAAAGAAGTTTTCAAAAATGTCGAATGTTGAAGCTTTAGAATAATGTTATCCTGGAAGAATGTAGTCTAGAAACGTTGAGCAAAAAATTTCAGCTCGATTGGTTTTTACTAGAACTTTCTAGCATTATTCTAAGCCGAGTTATGAGCCTTTAAAGTCTTGAAGAGACGCAGAGAAGCTAGAGTTGTGTGCGTCTCCTCATTTCTCATACTCTCTCGCTCAACCAACTTCAACAACTCTGCTCAAAATGCTCCGTTTTTAATAATTTTTGGCTCATTTTTTAGCAAATTTTTAGCTTTTTCAGAAAATTACAAAATCCAAAACTTACAAAAGTCCAAGAGTTGGAATTGAGGACCAGGTGCATCCAGCCCATCCTCCGTACTTCCACAAGTTGACAGTGTTACGAAGGGCTGGCTTGACATAGGTGTTCTTTGGATTAATGATTTGAGTCTTGACGACGATTGGTTTGCTCAAATGGATTGGGTACTCGTACTGGTTCCAGTTGAGTCATATGGAGTGGCATTCAAGAATTGCACTGGTCCACTGTTGCATTGCCACCAATGCATTTGTTTATCGGTTCCGTTTGGTGCGGCGCAGTTGTCCAATTGGGCAACTGGCACGACGAATGATTGAACGGCAAGGACGAGGGCAACCGAGAGACAGACGCACCGGAGAAGCATGGCTGGAAAATTGAATATTCTTTGTATTTTCAAAATTTAAAAAAAAGCAATAGATAGAGCGTAGAATTCTCTACAATTCTGCGTTTTCAAAACTTTTCTAGCTCTACTCCAAGACGAGTTATGAGCTTTTGAAGTTTCGGAGAGACGCAGAGAAGCTAGAGTGCTATGCTTGTCTGCGTCTCTCCTAAAACTTCCAAGGCTTATAACTCGGCTTAGAATAGCGCTAGAAAAGTTTTGAAAGCGCAGACATGTTTGAAATTTCAAACATTTCTTTTGATCGCAAAAGATCAAGAACTCGAAAAAAATTCGGAAAAATGTCATTTTGGGTTGGCGTCAAAAAAAAGTTATTCTCGTTTGACACTGATAAGAGTATGAAAACTTGAAGTTTAATGATTGAAGAACACTGAACAGGATAGAATGAATGAAGGGGGAATTAGGAAACTTTCGAAAAGTAAAATTTGAAACTTTGAAAAGTTTTAATTCTTGTGAATCTTTTTTGAATTTATCAGATTCCTCAAAATTTGACACAAATCTGTGTTTTCAAAAGTTCTCTAGCTCAATTTTAAAGCGAGTTATGAGCCTTTGAAATTCAGTGAGAGACGCAGAGAAGCGAGAGAGGGCGATTGTCTGCGTCTCCTCGTTTCCCACAGCGTCTAGTTGTTTTTTCTTTAAAGGCGCATCACTCAAAATAAAGCTAGAGAATTGTTTTTTGTTGCATTTGGAAGCTAAAGAGATGGTTAACACAATGATATAAAATTTGAATTGCTCACTGTTTGAGGAAAATTGGGAAAGCCTACAGTTTAAGGAAAAACTCATGTTTCGAAACTTTTCCTCTACTGTTGACCGAATTTATCTCGGTTGCTATTGAAGATATCAAAAAGAGGCTAATTATGAAAATATTTTTGAAATTATGTTAAATATTTTATCAGTTAAATTTTTTTTAGATATCTTCAGCAAGAAGCGAGATAAATTGGCTCAAAGTTAAGAGGTCGGCAGCCAGTCTCGTAGCTCAGGAAGCGTCAACTTTTGAGAACAATTATCTCGATTCCTATGAGAGATATCAAAAATTTGTCAACTGATAAAACATTGATAATATTATGATAAATATTTTGTCAGTTGACCACTTTTTGATAGCTTTCACAGGAAGCAGGATAAACTGGCTCAAACTTTGAACCTCTAAATAAAGAGCACTAAAGCTATTGGTTCGAATTGGTTTGAAGTTAATGGCCAATTTTATTCATCTATAGTTATCAGTAGAGCACATTTACACTATGAAAAAGAGGTAAAAAACTACATTTTCATCTTTCAAATGCCCGTTCTATATATACCAATCCCATTCAGAATCTCCTCCCTTTTTTTGTCCTCCCACTCCTTCTTTTTCAGCATGTCCGTGTTTCATTCCTTATCACTGATTTCCCTTATTACGTAGTTGATTGAGTTGAAGGAGATGCAAACACGTGCGCTATCACGGTCACATCGTCCTTGACTTTTATTTTTTGGACAGGCACAAGAAAGACAAGACTCTGAAAATTCTTGGAGAAGGAGAATGTCCGGTTGTCAGTGATAAGCTGATAAGAAGAGGAAAAGAGGATTTTCAGATTTTCAGAGATTTTCAGAGTTCCGCATTTTCTTGTCAATGTCGAAAAGTTTGTTATCAGTGGGAAACTTGATCACTGATCAAACGGAATTTTGAAGTTTTCAAGAGAGAAAAAGTTTTAAATTTTAAAAATAGGCCTGAAAACTGAATGTACTATTGCAAATTAGATATGCCTATGCTTTGAAAGTATGTTCTAAAAGTACATTATATTTTCATGAAAAAAGTTACTCAATTTTTGAAAATTTTAAGCTAATACATGCAGCTAAAAGATGACAATTTCCGTTTTAAACTTGACTATTTTTGACTATTTTTCGACCTCCTACAAAATGTTTTCAACATTCCTCAATTTGTCTGAAAATTTGAGACCATAGTAAACACAAATAGAGCTTCATTTTTGTAGTTGACAATTTTTTGCCAGCTACCGTAGTTTTAGAGTTATCCGTCTTTAAAGTTTGCGCGCTCCCCTCTCATTGGCGCCGCTTTAAAGTTGCATATCTCAAAAACTACAGTAGCTACCAGAAGTTGTAAACTGTCAAAATGTGTTAAATTTAATTTCTCACATGTTTGCAGTTAACAACTTTTTTGATAGCTACTGTAGTTTTGAAGATATGCGCCTTTAAAGATAGGGTACCCTCTATTTGGGCGCCTCCCACAGGCAAAGAGACGCGCCAACTTTAAAGACGCATATCACAAAAACTAACAAAGATATAGTAATTTTGTAAACCAGCAAAATGTGTAAAATTTTATGTTGAGTAACTTTATAGTTGACAGATTTTTAATAGCTAATTTGGTTTTGGAGATATGCGCCTTTGAAGACAGCGTGTCACTGAGAGGGCGCAGAAACCGCTTATCTTTAAAGGCGCATATCTCAGTTTACGGTAGTTAGAAAAAAAAAATGCTAGTTACATAAATCAAGCTCTATTTTTGTTAAATTCATTTATTCTTGTACTAGTCCATTCTGAAATTCCTGCCACCAAATAGTTCTCTTATCTCCTTTCAAAATTTCGAATGACCATGATTTCTGCTTCCCAACGGAAGTATAATAAGGTCGGCCTGAACTATTTAAATTTTTCATGATAATTCTGCTCCCTGTTTACTTTTCGTTGTTTGTTGCTTGATTAAAACAGACAAGAATGTAGTACAATAGTTTTGCAGAACAAAAAATCATCGTTTTTGATCTATCAGCAACTTTGACCCAGTTCATCTCTGTTCTTGTAAGAGATATCAGAAAGTGGTCAACTGACAAAATATTTATAATATTGTGATAAACATTTTAGTAGTTGACCACTTTTTGATGCCTCTTACACAGAACGAGATAAATTGTCTTGAAGTTGAGAGACATTTTTTCAGGTTTCAAGGTGTCTAAAAAGCAAAAAAATGTGCAAATCAAATAGAATGTTAGTATTTTATTTTAAATTCATTTTATTTGTCTTGTTTTCAGCTTCAAAATGAGCTAAAAACCAACTCTTTCTGACCATTTTGAGGTGAGTTATGTGCCTTAAAACGACACACCAGGAGACATAAGGCGAAAAGAGGAGACGCAGAGAGGCGAGACACTCCAGCTTCTCTGCGTCTCTCCGAAACGTCAAAGGCGCATAACTTGCTTCAAAGTGAGCGTGGAACAATGATTTCAAATGCATTTTAATGTAGAAGAATTACCGGAAAATCTGAAAATTCAAAAAAAAATTAATTTCCATATTTTACAAATTAAAATGTTTCCGATTCACCTTCATTTTCGAGTTTCAAAATCACTTCTAACTCAATTTTTAAGCAAGTTATCCGTTTGGGAAGTTTTGGAGAGACGCAGAGAAGCTAGAGTGTTTCGTTTCTCTGCGTCTCCTTTTCCCTCCACTACCACTCTATGCGCTAACTTTAAAGGCGCATAACTCGCTTCAAAATAAAGCTAGAGAATTGATTTTTAGAGCGTTTTGAAGCTGGGAACAAGGAAAACAAAATTAACATAAATTTTGCAAACAGTTCGTTTTTTCTAACTACATTTCAGACCTTTTAGATACCTTAAAACTTGTAAAAAGACCGAAAACTTTGAACAAATGTATCTCGTTTTCTGTAAAAGATATAAAACATCTGTCAAATGATGAAATGTTTATCAGATTATCATTAACATTTTGTCAGTTAATCACTTTTTGATAGCTATCACAAAAAACGAGATAAATTAGGTTAAAGTTAAGAGAACTCTTTTCTCCGAACCCCTCCACGTGTTTCGTCTAAAGTTCTGCGTCAGAAAACAATTTACTGATAATGATAATTACCCCCAAATTCCGGTAGTAACATTTTCTACTTTGTTCTCTTCTAGTAAACAATCAAAAAATTTTCAGATAACACACCCTAAGAAAAAAATCGTAAAACAGTTCGGTACGAAGTACAATTGACCTAAAATTCCATATATTTTTATGACCCACCGAAGAGACAAATCGAACTAAACTGATTCTTTTTTTTGATGACAATATAGTTTTAGTCTATTATCATTCCGAAAAATTAAAATAAAAAATTTGGATGGAGGACAAATTTTGTTGAGCAGACATTAAAAAGAGAGAAGAGAAGGAGGAAACGCCTTTCTGAGAGAATGACAAACAATAAAAATGTTGCGGTTCTGTTAAAGGTGGGGGGACATGAAAAAAATAATGTTCTCGAAATTTCGTTTAAATATGCCTCTCGAGGAGTTGAACGTGTGGGACGAGGATTGAGGGTGCGGCGCCGCTACCGACTGAGCTACACGGGCAAAGAGAAAGCGCACGCCCGATTGCATACATAAAGGCGAGGACGACAGCTGTACGCAGAGTGACATTAAGCGTTGTACACCGTTACGGTAGAATGCATACTCTGGCTACAAAAAAACTACGAAAAATTTCCTGTCCCCCCACCTTTAATGAAAACGACAATTGACAGGAAAGAAATTGAACAATTCAGGGAAAAAATGTTGCTCAAATGTAATTCTCTTTAAAAAATCTCTATCAATCTGTTCTACCGTAAATGTTCTCTCTAATAGAAAACCGCCCTATATGAACACTTTGAGCTTTCCTGTCCCCCCACCTTTTATCTAGGAAAATTTTATCAGTTGACAAATTTTAGATATCTCGCACAGGAGCCGAGATAATTGAGCTCAAAGTGCATGCATAGGGTGAGCTTCTGTATGAGCAAATCTTCTGACCCTCGTTTGCTGAATCGTGTGAGCAATCATTGTCGTATGTGATTGCTAGTATGTCGAGTGTGGTCAAGATATGCCCCCTTGGTTCCAGGGAAAATAACAATCGACTAATCTCCCAGATGGTGTGTCACGTCAACAGACATCGTCTTGTGTTTGTTTTGGCACAGTACCCATCCTAGCACCTATCCTAGTACTTACTTTATTACCCATCCTAGTACCTATCATAGATCATAAACACCTCTTCAAAAACCAAAACTAGACGCAATTACACTCAGAGAGACACAAGTGACACCAGCTAAAAGTGAGAGATACTGGGATATGAATAGACGCGAATGCAATGTCTTTCTGTGTTCTCCTCCTCATATGCAGGCACATAATTCGGAGGCTACAACAATTCGGGAGTATAAGGGGGTACAAAGTGATTTAGGGGTAAAAAACCCGCAATTCGGGGGGGGGGGGGGGGGGGTACAAAGTGAGCCTTTTTCCCGGTATTTTGTACCCCCGAATTGATGATTTTGTACCCCTAAATTGCTTTGTACTCCTTTGTACCCCCGAATTGTTGTACCCTCCGAATTATCTGCCTCATATGCATCCCTCGACGACCTAGCTGCATGGACGTCTACATTTATTCCGAGGATTCTACAGTATCCTTCTCAGGATACATACCAAATAACTCTCTTTACCTCATTAAAACTAGACACAATGAGTGCATTCAGAGTGCCTTCTACAGTATCCTTTCATCCTAGTACCTTTTCTAGTACCCATCCTAGTACAGCACTTCAGGTCATTAAAATTAGACACAAGGCAATCCGAAGAGACGCAGAGGTTATTGATCCGTTTACGATGAGGGAGGTCACACGAAAGTGAGATATAATGGGATGTGAAGAGACGCGAATGGGGGCGGAGCCAATACATGCGTTGCCCTCTATTGTCCGTCCTTCTCTCATTGTACCTCTCAACAACCTAGCTGCATGAACGTCTAAAAGGGAACATTCCAGGAAATCCTATAAATGCATGGATTCTGGAATGTTCCTTGTCTATTTTTCTGATAATCTTTTATTCTAGAACTTTCCAATAAACCCTTCGAATGAATGGGTTTTGGGATTTTCTATCTACTATTTTTCTGAATATTTCATCATCCATGTGCTTGGTTTATTTAAAGGTGAGTAGATTTTTCAAGTTTTTTAAATGTTCAGGATTTTTGGAAATTTTATTGAATTTTAGTGAGCAATCTTTGAAGGCACATATCTCAAAAACTACGGTACCCAGAAAAAAGTTGTCAACTTCAAAATTGAATCACTTGTTCTGTTTAGAAGCCCCTGAAATTTTTAGAAAGTTAGAAATGATTTCTGGAGTAGTTTTTTAGGGCTTCAGAGTTGACTCTTCCATTGAACTTAACTGAATTTGTCCGGATTACTGTAACTCGGTTCGTATCAGGAAAAAACTGTAAACTATGAAAATGTTTATTAGTTGACTGAATTTTGACATAAATTATAGAATTTGAAGCGGATTACTGTAGATTTACAAATTTCAGGTGAAAGGAAAGGACAAGTGGCTGCTGTCGTTTTGGAAGAGTACTTCAATTTCATGAGACCATTTGGGTACGGCCTGAAGCTCCTTAATGGCACCGCAGCATGTTCGGATCCATCGTAGAGATAAAAGGAAGGAGCCCAACAACTTTGTGATTCAAGTATCGGAACGGGGACCGACATTTTTGATCCATTGTCCGTCAAAATTGCAAGTTCCCAGGACTGATTCTATGACTATTTGTTGAAAAATTGTTGTTAAATGTTGATTTTTTAGTATAATAAATTTAATAAAGATGGAAATTTACTAACTTTTCAAATTTTCCAGTTACAATCTTTTCAGACTTTTTTTTCAGAATTCCGAACTGAGAAAACTTAAAATAATAATTTTTTTCTAGAAAAAAACACCAGAATAAGGCTTCCAATGCCTCGGGCCTCGCTAGGCGCAGAGGCACACTGTCTTTAAAAACGCATTTCTCTAAAACTACAGTAGCTATTAAAAAATTGTCAACAACAAAAATGAAGTTCTTGTTTTGTTTTTCATTTCCTTAGTTGACAACTTTTATCTATCTACCGTAGTTTCACAGTTATGCGCTTTTAAAGACTGTCCGCGCATGCATCTAACGGAAAAAGAGGTACCGCAACTTTAAAAGCGCATATTTCTAAAACTATGGTAGCTATTTAAAAAAATTGTCAATTATAAAAATGAAGCTCCAACTCGTGTTTAGTGTTATCTTAAAATTCTAAGCAAAATGAAAAACTTCAAAGCAATTTTGTAGAGAATCAAACAAAATTCATGATAAAAATTTTGTAGACAGGAAATTGCTAATTTTCGGCTGGTGTTTTCAACTTTAAAATTTAGTTACTGTACTTTTGGTTTACATTTTAAGGAAGTTTTATTCCTATAGTATCCTTTCCAGTATTCTACAGTATCCTTCTCAGGATACATACCAAATAACTCTCTTTACCTCATTAAAACTAGACACAATGAGTGCATTCAGAGTGCCTTCTACAGTATCCTTCCCAGTATTCATCCTAGTACCCATCCTAGTACCTTTTTTAGTACCCATCCTAGTACAGCACTTCACGTCATTAAAACTAGGTGATCCGAAGACAAGGCAATCACAAGGCAATCCGAAGAGACGCAGAGGTTATTGATTCGTTTACGATGAGGGAGGTCACACGAAAGTGAGAGATAATGGGATGTGGAGAGACACGAATGGGGGCGGAGCCAATACATGCGTTGCCCTCTATTGTCCGTCCTTCTCTCATTGTACCTCTCGACGACCTAGCTGCATGGACGTCTAAAAGGGAACATTCCAGGAAATCCTATAAATGCATGGATTCTGGAATGTTCCTTGTCTATTTTTCTGATGATCTATTATTCTAAAACTTTCCAACAAACCTTTTGAATGAATGGGTTTTGGAGTTTTCTATTTTCTATTTTTCTGATTATTTTTATTTTTAAAAACGATGTATTTGGCTTATTGGAAGGTGAGTAAACTTTTTAGTTAACTTTTTTCTGGAAATTCTGATTTTTTGTACTAAAAATCAAAAAAATTCCTAAGCAAAGCTGAAAAAGTTACTTTTTTTTTGAATTTCCAATTTTCAAAGTAGTAAATTTGAGTTCTGAAAACTAAGTAATAGAGAAGAATAATGAGAAGTTGCACAATTAGAGCTAAAATGAAAGTATTGCCAATTAGAAAGTCTGGAAACTCTATCCTTCCAATTGGAGAGGCAGCCTTTAAAGGCGCATAACTGTAAAACTACGGTAGCTAGAAGAAAATTGTTAATTAAAGAAATAAAAAACAAAAGAAGAACTTCAATTTTGTAGTTGACAACTTTTTAGTGGCTACTGTAGTTTTTGACCTATGCGCCTTTAAAGTTCGGACACCCTTTTTCGCCGTTAGGTGCGTGCGCGTGCAGTCTTTAAAAGCGCATAGGTCCTCAATTTGAGCTCAATTATCTCTGTTCCCATAAGAGATATTGAAAATCTGTATTCTACAAAAATGTTGGTGATATTCTAATGAGCGTTTTATCAGTTCGCCACTTTCTTATCTTTTCTAGGAATCGAGATAATTGAGATCCAAATGTTTGGTGCNCNAGCANNCTTTAAAGACTGATCGCGCACCAAACGGAGAAAGAGGTGCCCCAACTTTAAAGGCGCATATCTCAAAAACTACGGTAGCTAGAAAAAAGTTGTCAAATGGCAAAGTAAGAAAACAGAATAGACCTTTCGTTTTGTAGTTGATGACTTATTTCTACCTACCGTAGTTTTTGAGATATGCGCCTTTAAAGGACATCTCTAACCTTTTTTTGCTAGGAGCGTACGCAATCTTTGAAGGCGCACAGCTCAAAAACTACAGTAGCTGGAAAAAAGATGTCAACTACAAAACCAAAGCTCTTGTTTGTTTAGTGTACGCTGAAGTTTTCTATCTCATTGAAACGTTCTATGGTAGTTTCGTAGGGCTTCAAAATTGACTATTCTTCACTTTGTCGGACTTACTGTATTTCGGTGACTATAGAAAATTTCAGACAGTTTTAAACTATGAAAACGATAATCTAAAATAGAATAAAATGAAAAATGTTGTGAACAACAAAATCAAGAAAAAAGAACAAAAGAGAAACATGAACTATTATTTTCAGGAGTTCAGCAAACTCCAGGTGACTGTGTCTGGTACATGGTTCCAGCGGCGTTCTCAGGCAAAATGGAGGCAGCTCTCGCCAGAAAATGCGTCTTCCCATATGAGACTTCATACTGGCCACGCATTGAAGAAGGAGAACATCTCGTATGAGAACATTGCCTGATATACCAATGGACGATGTGTGAATGTCTCATGGAACATCGCGGAGAGGACGAAGACGCAGCTAATGGTCATGGAAGCAATGATGTGGAATGATGCGAAGAGGTGCCACCTGGAGAATGCCGAATATGATAAGCTACGTCTGTCATCGCTCACCAGATCCTTGGCAAGGTGTCAAAATGAGATGGAAAACGAACCAATTCCAATCGCTGCCTACCTCGATCAAGAAGCAAAAGACTTGACGAACAATCCAATGTGCGGAAGCAAGACGTGCTCACGGAAGACGCTATTCAATTTGTTCTGCGTCAATTTGCCTGTACCAACACAACCTCTGGTGATACCGGGCTCAGCTGTGCCTCTGGTTATATTCGCGAGACCCCCCATCCCCCACCAAGATGCTTCTATTCTTCGAGGAATGCTCACTCAGGAAGCTCCTGCTCCAGGAACGGCTCTCGTTGGTGCAGCATCTACATCTCAACCGGGTCCATCAGTCCCGGCTCAACATGCTCCAGGAACGGTCCTCGTTGGTGCATTATCTACATATCACCCAGTTAATTGTGTGCATTGACTGCTACAAAGAGTAAGTTCTTATATACATCTGCAAACCACATTATATGATTTTCAGACAAAGATTGAATTAAAGGTGTTACTTCAAGAACATAGTTGAAGAGCTCATCGCCATCTTCGATAAGTATCGAGTCGCTGATCTTCAGGACAGGACAACAGGACAAGTAGTGGTTCACTCTCCTAAGCCAAACGCCTCATCATCTTCAGAAGACACAGAAGTTGAGGGAAAGGACAACAAAAAAGAGGGAACTTCGGAAATACGGAAGAGAATCAATACGTGGTGCCTCGACCATGAAACCACCGAGGATGCTTGGCTAGATGACAATATTATCAAGTTTTATCTCGAATTGATGTGCTCCGATCACAATGAATACAAGGTCATTGACCCAACTCTATGGCTGATGTACAAAGCTCATAAAGACGATAGACTCTTGTGGATTGAGCAACATTTGAACCACGACAAGACCTGCTTTTTCCCAATCTGTGAAGCAGGTCATTGGATACTTCTTATATTCAATAAGACCAAAATTTGGTATGCGGATTCATCGTACACGAGCCGAAGTGGAAAGTGAAAATCTTGATGAAGCTGATGAACAGAACGCCTCTAAGTTTCGATATTCGGAACCCTAAGCAGCAGGACAAGGTCAACTGCGGAGTTCATGTCTGTCTTGTTGTCAAGTCGATAGTGACCCAGCAATTCCTTTCATGCTTACTCTATAATAATTTAGATAAAATGATTGCTTCCCTCTGCATACCGATCTTATTTATCTCATTTTATCCTTCTAAATAAATGGTTTAATTACTCAAATTTGACACTTTTTGTCCTCTTTTACAGGTACCGAGATAAGTTGGTTTTTGAGATTGTCCAAAGATGACCTAACATTCCGAATTTCCCAATTCCTGAGATTGTTTTGTTTTGGAATTACCCTCATTCACCAAAACACGGCACAGCTGGCCCCAGCTGCTGATCGCTCGCGTCGCCCGAACTTGGCTCGCTGCCAACTTTCAAATCTATGTTCCCTTCTGCGCCAGAAACATTAACAATTAGACGCAATGGTGCTTCAGAGAGACGCAGATGTTATGTATCCATTTCCAATGAGACACACAGAAAGCGATAGATTGAGAGACGCAGAGAAGCAGAGAAAATACAATGCCAGCTCTCGTCCTTGCTATTCAAATGTATGTGGTGGTCACACGAAAGTGAGAGATAGTGGGATGTGAAGAGACGCGAGTGGGGGGCGGAGCCAATACATGCGTTGCCCTCTATTGTCCGTCCTTCTCTCATTGTACCTCTCGACGACCTAGCTGCATGGACGTCTAAAAGGGAACATTCCAGGAAATCCTATAAATGCATGGATTCTGGAATGTTCCCTGTCTATTTTTCTGAAATTCTATTATTCTAGAACTTTCCAATAAACCCTTTGAATGAATGGGTTTTGGAGTTTTCTATTTTCTATTTTTCTGATTATTTTTATTTTTAAAAACGATGTATTTGGCTTATTGGAAGGTGAGTAAACTTTTTAGTTAACTTTTTGCTGGAAATTCTGATTTTTTGTACTAAAAATCAAAAAAATTCCCAAGCAAAGCTGAAAAAGTTACTTTTTTTTGAATTTCCAATTTTCAAAGTAGTAAATTTGAGTTCTGAAAACTAAGTAATAGAGAAGAATAATGAGAAGTTGCACAATTAGAGCTAAAATGAAAGTATTGCCAATTAGAAAGTCTGGAAACTCTATCCTTCCAATTGGAGAGGCAGCCTTTAAAGGCGCATAACTGTAAAACTACGGTAGCTAGAAGAAAATTGCTAACTAAAGAAATAAAAAACAAAAGGAGAACTTCAATTTTGTAGTTGCCAACTTTTTAGTGGCTACTGTAGTTTTTGACCTATGCGCCTTTAAAGTTCGGACACCCTTTTTCGCCGTTAGGTGCGTGCGCGTGCAGTCTTTAAAAGCGCATAGGTCCTCAATTTGAGCTCAATTATCTCTGTTCCCATAAGAGCCTAAAAATGCCCTAACATTACCCTGGTCTGTTTTCTGGGTCATTTTGAAGTGGTGGCCTAGAAAACCAAATTTGCAAAAGTTATGCCACCGCTTCAAAATGATCCAGAGAGCTGGGTCAAGTTGGGCTAAGCCGATGAAAGCTAGAGTAAGCTAGTCCAAGCTGAGCCAAGTGGGACCAAGACAGACAAAGATAGGTCAAGCTGGGTCAAGCTGGGTCAAGCCGGGTTAAGCTAGTCTGAGCCATGCTAAGCTTGTCCAAGCTGGGCTGAGCTGGGTCAAGTTGGGCGGAGCCGATAAAAGCTAGAGTAAGCAAGGCCAAGCTGAGTCAAGCGAGACCAAGCCAGACTAAGATAGTTCAAGCTAGGTCGAGCTGGATCAAGCCGGGCCAAGCCAGGTCGGGACGGCTCCAATTTTTTGATTTTTTTTAAATTATCTGAATTAATCAAGCTCGATACAGGTTGGTTCAGCTTGGACGTTATAATAAAGACAAAATAAAAAAGTGTTTTTAAAAACCTTGGAAATTCCTTATGAATTTTGTGAAAACATTTTTTTTTCTGTCCGAGCCAGAGCATTTTCAAAAAGTCCTAATTTCCAGAGCAACAAAAGAAGCGGCCAGAATCAAATTGGAGAAGGAAATCAGGGATCTTTCCGAGAAGTCAATGTGAGTTTACCATATTTTTCACGGGCCAGACCGGGTCAAAATGAATAATTCTTTGTCCCTTTGGTTCTAACATATCGAAATTCTGTATTTTTGGTGAAATTTTTGATAAAATTTCAATAATTCGATTTTTCTGTAAGGGTATCATCAGAAACTATGATTTCCGAAGCAACTCTGTTTTCTTTTTAGACTCCTATGGCTGAAGATGTGGCGCTCCCCGATTTCGTGAATGGAGAAGCTTCATTGGCTAATGTGAGTGATAAAAATAGAGATTTGTTTTTCAACTTTCTGAAAATCGTACTGAAGCAAGACAATTCAATTTTTCAGGGCCCCCAATCGACTCTTCCGCCGGCCCTCTCCCAGATGATCCAAGCAAGGATCAAAGAAATCAATCAACAAGTGAGTTTTCGTACACAGAAGGTTCAGAAAAATATAGAAACGTTTTTCAGCGCTTTGTTCCTCGTTTCCCCAAAACCAGTAGAAGAACACAGACAAAGTTCGATTGGATTCAATCCAACAATGGGGTTCAAAGGGGAAGTGGCATCCAAGTGTCAAACACAGAAGTTCGAGAGGATCTTGAGGAACCTGAAGGATCCGAGAAAAGGAGATCGATTGGAATTCAAACTCCATTCGTCATTCGCACTGAAGAAAAGAAGAAGAACATCGAGTACATCGATTGGGAGCAGTTGGATGAAAACGACCATATGGCTCAAATCGAGGAAAGACAAAAAGCCATTGCATCCAGAAGACGTGACAATCGCCGCCGTCTTCAAGCTCATCGTGGAGACGGAACTTTGGGAGACCCCATCTTTGTTGGGTCGTCGGACACCGAAGACGAGGAGGCAGAAGATGAGCAACAGGAGGACCCAGAAGGAGTTGACTCCGTAAAGGTCGAAGCTGAGAACTTTGTTGCGAGACTCCAAATTGCCAATCTGGATTCTTCGAAGCTCATCGAGAAGTTCATTGCCGATGTGTCCTCAAACGAAGGTAAATTTATACTTTATTGTAATTGAAAACAGACCAGAATCATGTGAGGGCATTTTTAGGCCATTTTAAGGTGGTGGCCTAGAAAACCAAATTCGCAAAAGTTAGGCCACCACTTCGAAATGACCTAGAAAACAGACCAGGGTAATGTTAGGGCATTTTTAGGCCATTTTGAAATGGTGGCCTAGAAAACCAAATTCGCAAAAGTTAGGCCACCGCTTCAAAATGACCTAGAAAACACACCAGGGTCATGTTTGGGCAATCCCTGGAAAACATATCAAAAAATTGTCAAATAATAAAATGTTACTGATATTGTGTTAAACATTTTATCAGTTGACACATTTTTGATATCTCTAATAGGAATTGAGATAATTGAGCTCATACTTCAAGTATAGGGTTGCTTATAGTATTTTTTTTACAGTTCCTTGTTTTGGAGATATTCCAGTTTATCACCCAAATGATTTCGGTCTTGGAATACGTTATGTTAGATCTTGATGTTTTTTTTTTGGATTTTTCAAATATTTCAATTTCAGTGATTTTCAAAGTCTCCTGGATTGTATGGAAATGTGTTCTTCTCTTCGCTAATTGGCTCAATGTGTCTTTTGGTTTTTTTTTGTAACTTTATTAACCTTTCCTTTTATCTCATTTCAATCTTTATCAATAAACTGTTTAAACCCTCAAACTTGACCTCTTTGTAGTTTTTTTTTTTCAAGTACCGAGATAAATTGTTTTTTGAGATTGTCCAAAGATGACCTAATTTGCACTCGATGTGTTTTCTTGACCATAAAACTCGGTGGCCTAAATTTTTCAAGTTGATTTTCCTAGGCCACAAACTTTTAAGATCTAAAAATGACATGATGTTCATGTGGTATAGTTTCTAGGTCTTTTAACGAGGTGCCTAACTTTTGCAAGATGAGTTTTCTAGGCCATCATGATAAAATGACCGAAAAACACATCTGATGAATATCAGGTCATTTCTAGACTTGAAAAGGTGGAGGCCTAGAAAGCTCAGCTTGCAAAAGTTAGGCCAACATGGTAAATGGCCTAGAAAAACCATCGGAAGAACTCAAAAGCCCAAGTACCTTTTCAAAAATACTTTTGTATTTGTTGACATAAATTACTAACAATTTTTTGAAAAAAAAAGAAAAATTGAAATTATTGAAATAATTTATTGAAATAAAAAAATTTAAAAGAACGGAACTTATGAACGATCGGTGAATGGAGATACTGAATATACTTGGAATTTGTGGACAGAAATTCTGAAATCTAAAAATATTTTTAATTGAAAAAATTAGATTTTATAATTACCTTATTAATTCAGCACAATAATCTTTGGACCCTCCTCTTCAATATCTTCAGAATCCAACGTGATGACTTCTGGAGATCCGTTTGGATGGTCGAACTCTTTAAATTTGTTGATTTCCATAATTTCAGAATCTTCATCTTCAGTTTTCCATGGATTCTCGTATAAAGTGATTTCTGGGTCGAATTTCGAAATATCAGAATCATCCTTCAATTTTGGATTGAATGGTGGACGATATTCCATTCTCTTCAACATCTCCCAATCGATTTTTCCAAAGAAATTGGACTTTTTGATTTCAAAAATTCCAAATCGTTTCTCCACTTTTGTGGTGAGCAATCCTTTCAAAAACTGAGCAGACATGTGAGATAAGCTCATCGGGATCTCTAATCTCTCATTCTTAATTTTCTCCTTTGTCGCTTCTCTCGTCTTTCCGTTGAATGGTGATTCTCCAACTAACATCTCCCATGCCAGCACTCCAAGTGCCCAGTAATCCACTTCATGACCATATGGCTCTTTTCGAATCATTTCTGGAGCCATTGAGTCGAGTGTTCCAATTCCAAAAGTTTTAGTTTTGGCGCCAAGTGGGAAATTCATTTTGCTCAAACCGAAATCTGCGATTTTGGCATCTCTTCTTCTCGAAATCATTACATTCGATGACTTCAAATCTCTATGCATTATATGACTCTCGTGAAGATACTCCAAACCCAATGCAATTTGTGCCAAGTAGTATCTGGCTTGGGTTCTCTTCATTGGTCCTTTCTCTTTAATTAGACTATAAAGTTCTCCTCCATTCAAGAGTTCTAGCACTAGGAACACTTTTTCTGGGGTCTCAAAACATTCGTACATTTCACAGAGAAATGGGGATTTGGTTTTTTTGAGAATTTGAATTTCTGATATCAAACGGCTTCGACCATCATAGTCCACTGGCTTTTTAATCGATTTTATGCATTGGGCTCCATTTGCATTGGGCTCCATTTGGGTCACGGGTTGATGCCAGATAGACCTGAAAAGAAAGGAAAATTTGAGGAGGGAAATGCGCTCCATTGAACTGTCATCCAAACTTTAAAAAAAACCATTGAATTTATCATTTTGAGAGCTTCAAAACAAGTATAAACACGGCTATGTTCCTTTAAATTAGAAATTTCAAGTTTAAAGGCGCATAGAGGAGTCGAAATTCCAAAATTCCAGAAAGTAGGTCATGTTTATACTCATTTTGAAGCGCTTATCATGCTGAATCAGAAAATTCATATTTCGCAGCTCTATGTTCAGAAGAAAAGAGTCGGTGCGCCTTTAAACTTTGATATTGGCGCCAAAATCAACTTTGGATTTGTCCGCAACTTTTTTTGCTCAAAGTTTTGAAATTAAAAAAAAACTCACTTTTCCGAATCCTCCTCTTCCCAAAACATTCCATAAAAGGAAGTCGTCAATTGTCTTGGCCGACTCAGTTGGCTTGGATTGGGTCATTCTGAAAGTTAGGAGCTTAGAAATTTACAAAATTAAAAATCAAAAAGCTACTGTATTCCTTCTAATAGAGCCATCCAAACCACCAACTTTGAGCTCAATTATCTCGGCACCTGTGAAAGATATCAAACAATTATCAACTGATAAAATGTTGGTGATAATATGATCAACATTTTATTAGTGGACCAATTTTTACATCGTTTACAAGAACCGAGATAAGTTGGCTTAAAATTGACGGTTTGGGTGTTTGGAGGGAATACGGAAATAATCAACGACAGTAAAAAAGAAACCAACTAACTGCACTATGACTGAATAGGGCATAACTAACCAGGTGGGGCGTACCTTCTTTCCCAGAATACCAGTCAATGATTCCCTTTTGTCTTATCTATAATTACCAGGTGGATCCTTCCTAGAATCCCTTTTGACCTCATGTCGGACATTTTGACAGGTACAGTACCCAATTCCAGTGTCCTCGTGGGAAAAAGATAACTTAACATCAAACAGGCATAGCTTCTTCTAAATACCGTAATTTCTCTCTAACTTTACTCAAATGAAGGGGGCCTAAAAGAAGGGCGGTCTAACTTCGACCCAATTTATGTTGATCATATTATAAGGAACAATTTGTCAATTGACCATGTTTTGATATCTTTCACAGTAACCGAGACTAATTGGATCAAAGTCAAGAAGC